TAGGGATGGCTTCAGTACCATGTAAGTGCTGACCTATGCACTGGTCGCCGGATCCCTCCAGGCCTCTGTGTGGGAAAGAAGTCACCTTGGCAAGAAGTGGAACTGTGCCAGTTTGGGTAGAGGATACAGACCTCGGTCAAAGTTCTACCACCATCACTTGGCTGCTGTGCAAGTCCTCACACAGAACCATTGCCACGAAAGAGGCTGAAACAACAAGTTAGAGCATGGAGGTTCTTGCCTGTTGGTCTATGCATGATCCATTCTTTGACTTATGCATTTTTTATAGTGCTGGGAAGATGACTTCGTGCATCACACATGTAAGCAACTCTGCAACTGAGCTATATTCCTAGCCCTTATTATTTTTAATTTTTATTCCAGTAACTACATTTTTCATTAAGAATCTGTTGGTGGGCTGGAGAGATGGCTCGGTGGTTCAGAGCACTTGCTGCTCTTCCTGAGGACCCAGGGCCCATGTCAGGCAGCTCACACCCACCTGTAACTCCAGCTCAGGGGGATCTGGCATCTCTGGCCTCTGAAGGCACTCACACTCATATAAACATACCCACATGCAGACACACACCTACACATATTTAAAACAAATCTGGGTGGTGGTGGCGTACACCTTTAATCCCAGCACTTGGGAGGCCGAGGCAGGCAGATCTCTGTGAGTTTGAGGCCAGCCTGGTCTACAGAGCTAGTTCCAGGATAGCTAGGTCTGTTACAGAGAGAAACCCTATCTCAAAGAAAAACAAACAAACAAACAAGGAAGAAGAAGAAGGAGGAAGAGAAGAAGAAGAAGGAGAAGAAGGAGAAGAAGAAGAAGAAGAAGAAGAAGAAGAAGAAGAAGAAGAAGAAGAAGAAGAAGAAGAAGAAGAAGAAGAAGAAGAAGAAGCTGTTGGTTTTTAAACTTGTTTCCCCATTGGCACTCATTTTGGAGATGTTATTCATAACATGGTCACACCTGAATTATTAGTTGGGCAGGCAGCTGACATGTGGCATCTGGAGGACAGGACTAAGAAAGCCCTTGGGGGGAAAAATCTCTCCTCAAAAGGCCAGCTGAGCATGGGGGACCCAAGCTGTGAGTAACTCAGACCTCTACTTGTCCGAATCCTACCCCTCATTCTCCTCCCCTCTCCTGCTTCTCTTTGCTGGAAAGGAGTCCCTCCTAGTCTGTGGATGCCTCCAGCACTCAGTCCTTTTATGTCCTACTTGAGCTGGACAAGAGTGCTACATGCTTTGCAGGCCTAATGAAAATGAAAAACCCAGGTTCCCTTGTCAGAAAACAGAATGTTTGAAATTTCAAGACATCCAAAGTGCAGTATTCCACTGAGCACAAACGGCTTCAAAGTGCCGGACCTGGTGCCCAAGAGTGGGCAGCCAGCTGGGAAGGCCAGACCCAACTGCACTGTCGATCCCAAGGGGAAACAGAGAAGCACCAGGCAAACCATCTTTCAGGCGCCCACTGGAAGCCCTCCCGGGGAGGTCGTAAGAAACCTCACTTCTGGTTCCAGCACTATGTAGTTGCTTCTCTGGCTTCCTGAGTCCCCACCAATCATTCACACCTAGTGCACACGTTCTTGAACCCTGCCTTGCTGGCGTTCTCGGGTGGGAAACCAACTGTTTTCTTGTGACATCCGTTTTTCTTTTGTCTTCCGATTCCTCCATTGCTGGAAGTTACCAACACGAGGCCTTTCTGAGACAGCATATGGATACAAAAACAAAGCTCATATGTCGTGCCTATCACTTTCACCTATCATATCCCTCCTGGGCTGTTGGTAGTGTAGATTGTCCTTGCCTGGAGCGTCAAGTGTCCTTCTTATTTGGTGCTGTAAAAAGCCATCTCTGAAGTATTCACTACTGTAATCACTCCTCTTACAGACTCTCGAGTCTGAGCAACTTGTCCCCAAGGGGATAAAACCCAAAGAACTTTGCCTTTAGCCATTGCCTACCCTGCTTCTGACGTGGGCTGCGTGAAGCCAATGGCCACCTCTCGTCTGCAGCATTCACCACATATTCTCTGTGTCCTCTCCATACTGGAGCATGGGGACTATTAAGGACTCTTTACTGGCAGCCAACCTTGTGCCAGGCTTCACAGTGAACACTCTGCTGACGTCACTCTCCAAACTCCTCGGGTTATCTTTACTGGCCCAGTTTTAGTGTTTAACTGATGGAGATATCAGGGCTTAGCAAGACTTACTTTTGCTAAACTGACAGATAGTGGCAGAGCGGGTTTAGATTTGGGTGTGCCTTTTGATGCCTCGTGGATGCTTGTAACCACGCTCAGCGGCCCATAGTCATGCCTCCCACACAGCTAACCTCTCTCCATTCCACTTGCCTTCACCTTCCTGCTCCTACCACTGCCTGAGTCTCTGTCAGAATCTAGGTCCTGAGGTTCAGCCTGCCTCTTGGGCCATCAAATGGCTGGGCTTCTGGATACACAACCTCATAACACAGAAAAGCTACCCTCGCCCTGTGGTATGCACTTTCACTACAAGTTGCCTCTCCAGTGTCCTCTTGCTGTTCAGTGGTTGATAAGAACACACGTCACAACGATGGCCCACTTCCCTAAAAGTAGTCAAGAGGTCAGACAGCAAGAAAAAAAAAATCAGTTAAGCATGGCACTAAAACAGGGCTAGTAAAGAGAGCCCGAGGAGCCTGTGAGATTAACATTGGCATTCTCTCTGAGGCCCAGCACAGGTTGACCACCAATAAAGGGTTCTTAATAGTCCCATGTCTGAACATTGTCCAGCCGACTGGACAGAGGGAATTCCTGGGTGGGAGGCTCTTCTGAAGTTCCCCCTGATGGCTACGAGGCAGGTTGTGTGGTTTCAGGATTGAATATGAGAGAGAACTCTGCCCACTCCAGGCCTGTGCTCTTCTGGGTTTCAGGCTGAGGGCAGGGACCTGTTCCCTGTGTGCTCACAATAGGCAGCAGGGAGCTGTACTGTCACATACAGCAGGGAACAACTGGAAGGAAAGGGTCACAGCTCCCAGCCGTGTTTCCTCGGCACACAGCTCATCAGACAAGTGCAAGGAAAATGTCTGAAGTTAACTGGCACGTGTTGGGGGAATGTCATCTACGCGTCAGCAAGCAAATGCATGGAATGCTAAATCTCGACTCGCCAGTGAGCAGACCGCTGCAGCCTCAACTATCCACAAGATGGATCATTGAATGTGCAGACTTAACAGTGTCGTGAGTTACTTGGTGTCAGTGGTCCCAGATAACCTTCAAGGGTGAGGCATGGCTCTTCTGGAAGTCTTCATGTCCAACCCCCAGCAAGCACATGACAGGGCTCATTTGCACCTCTCTTCTGTTGAAGAGTGACAATCACCTTGAAGATGACAAAGGGTGGTGAGGAAGCCAGCAGGAGAGCTGTGTGTGATGCTCTTCAGTGGCTAGAAATTCCCTGGAAAACGTTTAACTAGAACTGGTGTAATCATTTACCTCTTATTTACCTTCTAAACCTGCAGTTGAGACAACGTCAATGCCATCCGAGTCATCAATAAAGTTTATAGAGGCTTTTTTTTTTTCAGAAAAAAATGATTTCTTTTTTTTTTTTTTTGCTGACTCAGATTATGTGGGCAAACTCAGCCTCTTTCCACTGTTAACCAAACTCATTGAACTTTTATATTCCTTTAGCCTCCCCCACCCCAAAGCCATGCTAAGTTGTTAGCTGATCAGTAGTGAGCAGGAGCCAAAGCTCCAGCTTCTGTTGGGCTCTAGAGCCTTCTGTCTTGGGATAACTACAGAAGCAACATGAGTGGGCTAAATCCAGGCTCCCCTTTCTTGATGTGTCAGCAAGACCAGGTTGTAGAATCTCCCTGAGCCTCTGCTTCCTCTGGTGTTAAGGGTGGGTAGGAACACTGCAGCTCTCCCTGTCTCCAAGACAAGGAAAGAGGATGCTGGCTGCCTGTGGAGGTGAGATTATAGCCTCAGCAGCCACACACCTCATTCTTTAACCCTAAACTGATTTTCTCTCTCTTCCTTCCTTCCATCGGTCCTTCCTTCCATCCTTCCTTCCTTCCTTCCATCCTTCCTTCCTTCCTTCCATCCGTCCTTCCTTCCATCCATCCTTCCTTCCTTCCATCCGTCCTTCCTTCCATCCTTCCTTCCTTCCTTTCTTCCTTTCTCTTTCTTTGTTCCTTTCTTTCTCCCCCCCCTTCTTTGCGAGCTGGATCATGTGATAGCCATCAAGGCCACACTGAGTAGCGTGCAGTAGAAGGTCTTCTTCCGAACAAAAGAGAATGGAGGATTCCTGTCATTTCTTCTGGGGTCAGAAGAAACCAACTGCAAGAATCATGGTGCTTCTGGGGCCAGTCTCATAAGCTCAAATGATAAAGACAGCAGCAGTGGTGGTGACAATGACAATATCCCTTGAAATGAAAGAGAGAAAAAGAAGATCTGTTGAGATCCAAAGGGTTTTCTTGCTGTTCTGTGTGTACACCCTGCCCCTTCACTAAGGCCAGAGAGGAAGGAAGAGCCTACAGCTCAGAAGTGAAGGGGAGCAACCCCAGGTGGCATCTCCTTAAACCTGGCACCTTCACGTTTTCCTTGCCTCAGGTCAGCCTGACGCTGCCCTCGTCACGTGCCTCATGCAGCCTTCTTTGGGATGTAGAGCTGCAGAACCAGTGTGATCGCTGGGGCCAGGTCACTGGCTTTAAACTCCTTGCCTCTGTGGTCAGACCCATGCCATCCAACTGTGGCACACTGGCACTGAATGTAAAGGGCTCTTCAGGCAACTGGGCAGCATCTTCTGGAGGAAACTGGTGCCGAATTACCTTCCCTAGACACCTGATGGAGCCCGGGATAAAGGCTAACTGGCACCCTGTTAGTTGGTGTTTCATATCAGAGAACTAAAGCCCACTCTCACTGTGTATGATAATGCATACACTCATGGCATGATGGTTTTGTGCAATAATCTGTGGTTTCTAGCAGATCAGATGTTGCTCAGTAGATGCCCACACCCCCCCACCAAAAAAATTTTTGTTCTTTGAACATATGAGTGAAAAAACAGTGTGTTTATTAGACGTTAATGCCTGGTTTCACAGCGCTTTGGCCCTTTAGGAATCATAAAGGGCAGAATCAAGTGGCCAATCCATGATTCTCCCAACACTGAGGCTTCTTCTCCATGATTCTCCCAACACTGAGGCTTCTTCTCCATGATTCTCCCAACACTGAGGCTTCTTCTCCATGGCAGCCAATCAGGCTTCCGGCTTTTGCTGGCATGCACACATTCATGCTCTAGTTTGTGAGTTGTATTTCTAACCATCCCCCTGCCTCACTTGGGTATTTCACCCCCCTCCTAGCACTATCCTTCTATACTGAGGCTCCTGGCAGAGCTCTGAAAACTCTGGCCCTGGAGTTAATATTGTCCTGGGTCACATTGCACAGCTGTGAATACTGAATTCTCATCCCCCGCCCTCTCTCATCACCTTCTCTCCTCACCCTGCTATAACTAGAGGTTGAACCCAGGATTTTATCCATGCTAAGTAAATGCTCTACCACTGAACTGTGTGCCCAGCCTCCTTCCTTTCTTCCCCAGAATCAGGGGAGATTAAGTTGATCAGGGTGACAATTAACTCACTTTTCAGGCCAGGTTGACCTTAAATGTATGATCCTCCTGCCTCAGCCTCCCTAGTAGCTAAGATTAGGATTAACAGAGTTGTGTCACCAGGCCTGGTTTAAATACTAAACTCTGTGTTGGAATGATTCAAGCATATTGCCTAGTCTAATGACTCCCCTGTGACACATAGAGGCCCTGATGCCATTCCTAACTTCTGACCTGAGGTCTGTGCCATCATTAGCTCTGCCTACTACCCTGCCGTCACCTTAGGAATTTAGATCCTGAGACTTAGGACCAGTTTCCCTCAGCAAGCTTTACCACGCTACGTTGTATTTAGTATGGGGCAACAGAACACTGTTGCCCCATAGTGACATGAGTGCTCAGGGGCAAAGTACATAGAGTCATTAAAATATAGCCACAAACAACATAAAATACCTTGGGGTAATGCTAACTAAACAAGTGAAAGATATGTATAGCAAGAATTTTGAGTCTTTAAGAAAGAAATTAAAGAAGACACCAGAAGGTGGAAAGATCTCCCATGCTCTTGAATAGGTAGGATCAACATAGTAAAAATGGCAATCGTACTGGAAGCTATATGCAGATTTAACGCAATCCCCATTGAAATCCCCTGTATAATTCTTCACAGACCTTGAAAGAACAATAATCAACTTTGTATGGAAAAACAAAAGACCCAGGATAGCCAAAACAACCTTATTCAATAAAGCAACATCTGGAGGCATCACCATCCCTGACTTCAAGCTCTAGTCTAGAGCTGTAGTCCTGAAAACAGCTTGGTATTGGCACAAAAATAGACAGGTAGACCAATGGAATCGAATTGAAAACCCTGATATTAACCCACACACCTAGGAACACTTGACAAAGAAGCTAAAATTATACAATGGAAAAAAGAAAGCATCTTCAACAAATGGTCCTGGCATAACTGGATGCTGGCATGTAGAAGACCGAACGGGAACTCTGGGTTCTCTGGGGGCAGGGTCATTCGCTCAGAGACATCTAGCTACTCATCTAGCAGAGTCGACTTTCCATTAACTATGTGATATCTTCATTAAGGGCATGCCATAGGAGCTCTTTGGGAGGGGTAGGCTTTTCCTTGTAAATACTTAATCCGGACATTACTGATTATTTGGAAACCCAGGAGTGCTCCGTAAGTTACAGGCTCAGACAATATAAACCACGACTTTAGCCTCCACAGCTCAGTTGAGTTTTTGACTTGGAACTATCCTTTGTGAAACTTAATCTGTCCTCTTTCACATAACTCAGCTTTCAGACCCCTGGATAGAAACCTATCCTGTTTGGTGTGACTTGTCTCCCACTGGGGTTAGAAGAAGCCCGAAGCGAAGAGGGATAATTTATGCAAGTCCCTCGTAAGTCAGAAGTGGAAAGGTGTATACACCTCTGCTTGCTCTGGAAGAGCCTGTTCTGGAGCCCCCTGCCAGGTAACTTGCATCATCTTTAACATGGGCTCTCCGCCTGTGAGCAGTATGTTCCTTCTCTTTGTCTGGCCCATGACAAGACAGCCTCCCTCAGTTCCAGCGCCTGGTCCTCTCTATCCCAGCCATGAGAGCCTTCCAGGTCTTATCTCAGCTCTTCCTTTAAACCCAGAGGAATGCAGATTCTATGTTCATATGAGGAATGGGGAGTATTAAATAGCAGCCTTCATGCCCAGCTGCATGGACACCCCTGAAGTCACAGCCCCTCCAATACTCTAGTGCCAGCCTGTCACTCAGGGCCATCTCCTGGTTCTGCACCTGAGTGCCTGGGAAGACATTTAAAGTCTATTAAAACAGGATTTTTCATGAAGGGAGGCAGGGGAGGAGGGGAGAGAGAGACGGAACTGGGATTGGCATGTAAAACATGAGACCCAGAAAAAAATGCCCTTGAGGCACACCAGTGTGTTCATAAATGCCCTTATGGCAGACCAGTGTGTTCATAACTGCCCTTGCCTGGAATGCTGGGATCCAACCCTGAGCTGTATCAAATGAGGGGCTCGTAGTAGACCAGAATTCCACTACACTGCACTTGTGCCCTGGCTGGGACCGGAGTGCTACTGGTGCCAAACAGCCAACCTGAAGTCACAAAGCAGGACCTGCCTGTGCTGTTCCCTGCAGGGCCTGGTGGTGAGGTCCCCTCCCTACCATAAGAACTCATTCCTTTCATGCCCATTCTTCTTACCCAAGACCTGTCATCTCCCATGGCTCACTATTTCTTCTAGAAGGGGATCAATAACCACCATTAAAAGATTTATGAGATAACAATTTATCAGATAACACATTGCCTGCCCCCTCATGGGTGCCACAGCCTACTCATATTCGGGTAGATGGCCCACCCTTGGCTGCCACCCCAACTGCACTCTGGGATGGCCATTGTCCATTTCATCCCTCGGCTGCCTCCTCTCTCTGCTGTTAACACTGTGTTCCAAGCAGACTTTGGAACATCTTCCCCCACAGCCGCATTGACTTTGGCAGATTTACTGGGGATGGCTGATGTCCTAACCTTATTTGCTTTTCCAGAGCTGGTGTTTGCAGGGTTATTTGGAACCAGAACAAAAATCATCCCACGCCCTTATGCAATTCCTTCGGCAGAATCTATCAGATAAATAAAGCCCTCTCCCCCTCCGTTGGTCTAGCTCTCCAAGCTGATTATCTGGGCTAGTTCTCACATCTGCCCATCTTCTGCCGTTCTGGAGCAGCCATGAAGTCCCTGGTCCTGCTCCTTTGTTTAGCTCAGCTCTGGGGCTGCCAATCAGCTCCACATGGTACAGGGCAGGGTTTTAAAGAAGTGGCTTGTGATGACCCAGAAGTGGAGCGAGCAGCCTTGGTAGCCGTGAACTACCTCAACCAACATCTTCTTCATGGGTTCAGGCACCTCTTGAATCGGATTGACAAAGTCAAGGTGTGGTTTCGGGTAAGTGAGCCTGCATGCCTGAGCTGAAAGAATCTGTGTTTGGGGTACAACCCAGTGCCTCAAAGGCTAGCTAGCATCTCTCGGTATCGATAAAACTGCGGCAAAGACTGGTCTCTTCCCAGAAACAGGACAGGGAAAGAGGAGAGCAGGAGAGGTCACATTCGTACTGTAGTCACGAATCTCACAGAGGATGCTCCATGTGGGAAGAAGAAAGGACTCAAGGATAGTTCACAGACCACAGGTGGAAGGTCAGACTTGCTGGAAAAACTTGGGTTCCTACTAGCCGACTTGAAAGTCACTTATCTTTCTTGGCTTCTGTTTATCTCTGATAAAAATGGGACGTGGCTTTTGACCAGTGCCTATGTGTGACAGCCCTTTAACATAGATCTTTTCATTAAGCCCTTTTCCCGTCCGAGCCCTGTGTGGTGGCCAGATGCTATGGGCACTAGCATGTTGAAACAATAAAATCTCCAATATTTAGCTGCTTTTGACATACAAAGTTGGAAATTCCATACGGCTCAGCTTAACATAAAGATGGGAAGGCACAAGAAGCTTGTGATTTAGGAGGGAAAATAAAACAAACATCAGGATGCCCAGATGGAGGAATTATATCCAGTATGACACAGGGACAAGCTGATTTGAAACTAGGGTTTTCCTGGGTGAATTTTAAGAGCGCTGCAGTGAAAGGCATAATGAGCAGATCTGTGCAGAGTAACATGCAGTATGCACATTGCAGAGAGAGCCATGGGAGAGCATTGTGCATTAAGTGTAGAGATTGAGGACTGCTTTCCTTGGGACCCCCACGTGCAGCAGGAAGCTCTGTGTGTTCCCTGCACTCGGTGCTTCTATTCCTGGCAATGCTGAGGTCTCAGGCAGGGCTGGGGGGAGAGGTAAACTAATCCGGGCTGAGTTCCAAAATTTGAGATGTTCTCAAAATGTGAGAAGAGGAACACGCGAGCAGGTAGAGAAAATGAACAACCTCACAGGGTCCTGCAAGTTTCCCAGATTGCTTCCACACCAGTGACAGCAGTTTCCTAGCCTCAGACTAGACAGGCAGGAACTCACCGTGTATCTGAAGCCCAAGAAGATGGACAATAGGAAAAGCCAAGAGCATCCTCTAAGGAAAAGAACACCGAAAGGAGAAGAGGAGGGATGTGGACAACTAGGGAGAAGAAAGGATGAAGCAGAGGGAGGGATAGAGAAGACATAGCAAGATACAAACTCCAAAATGAAAACGTAGCCCCCGGTGCCACTTCTCCTGTGTAAAAGAGAGCTGAGAATACGGACCGTGGCTTGGACAGACACCCAGGCCCTCTACCCTGCTGTCCCCGTTTCACCTGCTCCATCTATAGTGGAAGACAAAACAGAGACAACAGTGCAGTAATGAGGGGGCTGAGACCGGTGGGGCCTCTTCTCACTTCTCCCAGAGTCACCGCCACCAGAGCTTCACACTAGCTGACTCACTGGATGGGCGGGCACTTCCTCACCTCTTCCTTCCATCTCCACAGCGGCCCTTGGGAGTGGTGTACGAGTTGGAATTAGACACACTGGAGACCACCTGCCATGTTCTGGACCCCACTCCCCTGGCCAACTGTTCTGTGAGGCAGCTGACAGAGCATGTGAGTACCAGTTTATGGGTGCTACCTTACAATGGGTGGGTGGGGCCCGGCCACCAGGGTTCAGCAAAGAGCAGCCCGGCCTCAGCCAACTCCATCTTGGCTAGCCAGAGCGCAGTTTCTAAAACTGCCATTGGATGACACCTTCCGGGAGGCTGATTTTTTGCAACACTTAAGCTTTCTTCTTGAAGCCCTCCCTAAAAGCAGATTATAAGACTGGTGAAGGTGATCGTGGGCAGGTTACCTCCCAGAGTCCTGCCAGGCTGCTCCCCAGATGAGGAGTCAAGTCATAGTGCTCCTGGGTTTCTTTCCTAGGCGGTGGAGGGAGACTGTGACTTCCATGTTCTGGAACAAGATGGCCAGTTCACTGTGTTGTACAGCCAGTGTCATTCCAATCCAGGTCAGATGATTCTTCTGCTTATTTCTACCTTGTAGAACGAGAAAGGAACCGTTAATTTTGAACTCAAATAGTCCTTGAGTCATTGTCGAGGATTCTGGGTCCTGGGATTCTAACACCGTTTTTTTTTAAAAGGAGCTTGTTCCCATGGGTGAACATTGTCCCTTATAGCTGTGACTTACCGAAGCTTCATATAGCAGCTTGAAGGTTTAGAGAAAAGAGGTGTTGCAGTTGAAAGCATGTGCAGCCCTTTCTAAGTAAGCAAGCAGTGGTGAGAACCTTGGTGAACTGCAGTTAAGACCCCATTGTCTTTCTGTCCAGACTCTGCAGAGGACGTGCGGAAGGTGTGCCCAACATGCGGACTCCTGACTCCTTTCAATGACACCAATGTGGTGCACACCGTCAAAGCTGCCCTGGATGCCTTCAACGCACAGAATAACGGAACCTATTTTAAACTGGTGGAGATTTCCCGAGCACAAAATGTGGTAAAAACCTGAGACTCTTTTGGTAGATTTGGGCAATTGGTGGCCCCTGGGGAATGTTTGGGGATGACAACCAGAAGACAAGGGGGCATGGGTTGAAAAGGCTGGCAAGGGGGCTTCTAGGACTGTGAGGAACCCCAAACTCTCAGCAACACTGTCCCAAGCTGAGTCACTTCAGCATAAGTCAGCCACAAGGAGCAGCTTCCCTGCCTCCACCTAACACCAGGGCTCTCTGTTCAGACACAGTAAATTCACTGGGGGCCACACATTCACCACTCGACCAGTAACATCCACTGCGGTCTGGGAATCAACACGGATGAAAAGGAATGGGCCTACTCATACTGACAGGCATTTAGTGGAAGGTTCCTAATCGGCCTTTCAAGTCCAGAGACTTGAAAGTTGGGGTTGGGAGTGGACCATCTAATTTGGCAACAAAGGTTTAACTATTTACGTGCAGCAGAACTGTGATGTAAGCAACCTGACAATCTGGAAGTCAGCCAGGACATACTTACAAATACATTAATATTCTCTAATTCCTGGAGAATACCCATCCCGTATTACACCAAGCAGCAGATGTGCTGCACTTGCAAGACTCCAAGCATTCCGAGGAAGGACGCAACGAGCAATGACTTCCATTCTTTCATCTAGTTTGTTTCTCTCTTGACTGCTGTATGAAACTGGTGTGGGGCCATCTCTTTACTCCCCGTTGCATCCCGGAATGACCCAAGCATTGGGTTCCAATGGCTGAGGGCCAGGAGATGCTGGGTTCCCATCCCTGCCTGCCTAAAGTTGGCCTTTTGACTTCCTGTTTCCTCTCTGAAAACTTAACCTCTGCCCTGAGTGACGGACACTTGCCAATTCTTTGAGAAGACTCAGTTCCTGCCTCCACAGCCCAAACTCTTCAGCGCACAACCCCTTCAACTGCCTAGGGCTACACACACCATGTGATTTGTGTTCTCTTAAGCTATGCCAGACCACAGCCTTCCCTCTCTCCCCTCCCCCACCCTCCCTTCTCCCCTCTTTCTTCCCTCCCTTCTCCCCCATACCTCCCTCCAACCTCTTCTTGCCTCCCTCAATTCCAGATCATCTTGCCTCATGTGTGTTTTCATTTTTATTGTCAGCCTCTCCCGGTCTCTACTTTGGTGGAGTTCGTGGTAGCTGCTACTGACTGTACTGCTCAGGAGGTCACAGATCCAGCCAAATGTAACCTGCTGGCAGAAAAGGTGAGTGGGCCAGACCCTGGGGCTCCTGCTGCCGGGACAACCTGGCCATGGAACAAAGCAGCTCTTTGCAGTTTACATCTCGAGGTTGAAGGAAGAAAGTTTAAAAACAAAGTGCAAAATGCCCACTCGTGAAGCTGGAGAAATGGCTCAGCAGTTAAGGGCACATACTTCTGTTCATCCAGAGGGCCCACGGTCAATTCCCAACACCCCTCCACCCCACCCCCCTCAGGCATCTCACCACTTTGACACCTCTGGCCTTTGCAGGCCCCTGCACACATGCATGCATGCACACACACACACACTTAAAAATAAATCAAATTTTTTTAATGTCCACTTACCCACTTGCTATGGGGTTGGGTCATGCCAGAACTTTCTCTGGTGCCTCACTTTCCCCTTTAAGTGTAGTCACCAAACTGTCTCCCCTCTGAGAAGCGCATGAAGCCAGTCTGCTGCGTGTGGCTGCTGGGGAGTGAGAAGTAGATTTTTAGATGTGCTTTGGACACTTGGAAGCCCTGAGTCTTTAAACCAGTCATATCCATTTGTGGAGGTTTAGCTTCAAGAGAGTGTCAAAAGTGTCAAAATACACCTGTAAAGATGACGTGTCATCGGTAACTAATGGAACACGGAGGAAGGATCCCAGTGTTGGATGAGAGTGAGTCACTGAGCAATGTGTGGGATGATGACAGATGTGAGTAAAACATCCCCAGAGTAATTGGAAGACACAGGGTACCAAAGTCATTTTCACAATGACCTCGAGTCATAGTTTAAGTTGTATTTAACAGGGTTTACTTAATAAAAAAAAAACCAACCTGTGTTAGCAGTAGCTCTCCCTGTGTCACCACCATCTCAGGGGTGCCAGGGACGTGTTCTCCTTCTCATAGTGTTTCTGTGTGTTCAGTGGTATTTGTAGAATTGAATTCCATGTGTTCCATAAGCAAAAACCAAAAGTTTCATTTGAAGCAAACTTAGGGTTGATGTAAGATTTTTAAAGAAAGATTTAAGTGGGTATATAAATGGAGAGAGGAGAGAGAGAGAGAAGGGGCTGACTTTCATTACTTAGGACATGCGTGTGACTTTTCAAGAGATAGTTGCCTAGAAATTATCAACTTAAAAGGAGTAAATTTAAAAGAAAAGAATTAGAAGTTTCTTTGCTTTGATATATTATACTGCAATTTACCGGGGAGAAGCATCTTTATAACATTTAAAATAACCCCTTTCTTCCTGGAAACAGCAATATGGCTTCTGCAAGGCGAATCTTGTCCACAAGCTTGGTGGGGAAGAGGTTTCAGTGGCCTGCAAAGTTTTCCAAAAGCAGGTAATTTCACGGATCTTTTTCAGACAGTGACCCCTTCCCACTTCTGCAGGGGATTAGCAATAATGGAACATTTGCTGTCCTGTCCTAAGCCTCGAAGTGGGATGTAACACTACAGGATGTGGACTCACCAGCTGGGTGAAGGATGTGCCAGCCGGGTCTTTCCCTCTCATGCTCTGGTGGCTACAGGGGAGAACAGTCCTTATGTGTAGTTGGCAAAGCCACCTTGTTGTTTGTAAAAGGTGGAAGTGCTTTTCCTAGTTACAGAGACCAAGTGGGCTGCTCTGCCTGATAGCTCCCAGGTACTCATGGCAAAGGTTTTCTATGGGTGGGGTGCTTGTAAAAGGGACTGTGTTTGTGGAAGTCTACTGGAACTGTGTTAATACTAGTAAGAGTGGAGCCCCAGAGACCAGTAACCTCTTCCTGTGAGGGTCCTGAGTATTTTACCAGTTCTTTTTAACTATATTCTTCCCAACTATCAATCATTACTTTGAGGAAATAGAGCTGGGTACAGCACAGACTCACGGGGAACCCTGTCTGGGAGGAGGAAACAATCTTGCATAAGAACATGGATCTCTCTCTCTCCCTGTGCCCCTACAGCCCCAGCCAGCCAGTGTCAACACAGCAGGACCTGCACCTGCAGTAGACCAAGCTGCACCTGCAGTGGACCAAGCTGCACCTGCAGTGGACCAAGCTGCACCTGCAGGCCCACAGGCTGACTCACCTGCATCTTTGGTGGTAGGACCCATGGTGGTGGCGGTTCCTCCAGGACCTCCAGCCCACCGAACCCACCATGACCTGCGCCATGCCTTCTCGCCCGTGGCCTCAGTGGAGTCAGCCTCAGGAGAAGTTGTTGGCCCACCTAAGGTGGTCCAGCCTGGCTCTACAGGGGCTGCCAGCCCAGTGGTCCCCCTGTGCCCAGGCAGGGTAAGACACTTCAAGATCTAGGCTAGACTCGATGAAGTAAAGTTTTGGCAGAGAGGACATAGCCGCCATTTTGTCCAAGACTGGGCATGAAGCTGGGGAGCATGTCCACTGACCAAACAAGTACCACCTCACAGCTTGAATTCCAGTTCTCCTCATTCCCCAGAGAACAGGGACAGACAAGGGATGGCCATATTTGAGGAAAGGCACAAAGCCAGAGACAGCACTTCCACTGTTTTTATGACAAACTACTGCCATTGTTTCTCTGCCTTCTTACTGACCTCATAAAAAACGGTCGCAACTGTGACTTTGAAAGGTGCTCTTGCCAGTCTTATATCTACCCATAAATAAAAGTGCCTGGAGGGCCTTTCTTAAATAAGAAGGTTCTGAGGCAAAATGTGGTCATGATCATGGTCTACTTCCTTCCAGTCTCCTTGTGTATGGTCTGTCAGTCCAACAAACACACCAGTGTGTGTGCAGCCCAAATTAAGCAAAAAGGAGAATAATATGCATTGTGTTGCTCTTGCCTAACAAACAGCGGCATCCAGGAGTTCAAAAGATGTCATCAAGTCTTATCCTACCTAGTAGCAATGCCTCTCTCTGTCTCCTTGCCTCTACTCCCTTCAACATGGCCACCAACAGCCTTGCATCTACCCAACTTTCCTGGATGGAAGACTAGCCAAGACATGAAAGGGAGGAGCATTCTGGGGCAGAATAGCAGGCACAGGGGCTCAGTGACAGGCCATAGACTGGTGTGGTTAAGAACAAGAGAGAGAATGGGCTGAAGAAGAGAGAAGAGGCTGAAGTGACAAGAACCAAGCCACAAGTAGCCCTGATATCCCCAGGAGGAATGTGGGGTATTAGTTCAAAGGGAAAACACTAATGGTTTTAAATGGTGGGGGGTGATGTAGTTGAATTTGCATTAAAATGTTGGGGGTATCTGGAGAGATGGCTTAGCAGTTACAGGCACTTGCTGGTCTGCAAAGGATCTGGGTTCATTTCCCAGCACTGGTCTGCAGTTCCAAGAGACCCAATACCCTCTTCTAGCTTCTGCGGGTACCAGGCACACATGGCATCCATGCATATATGCAGAAAAGCACCCATACACATAAAGTATAATAAATTTGAACTAAAAAATCACTTAGACACCATAGCTCTCAGCGTGGGCATGGGATGGAGTACAGTGAAGCAGAACCACACCACACCCCCTGAGAGTCGCTTGGGAGTGGAAGCATTTCCTTGGGAAGCCACTGATGTTTAGAGGTCAGATGCCAATGCTGGCCAAAATTCTGTCAAGTTCAAAGCAGCCCTAACAATGATTAATCAATGTCTAGTCATTAACTGAGTACCAACAACACCTATAAAGTTGCTTGATGGAAAGTAGGTTGAAGCCACATGACTAGACGCTTCTAGGGAAAAGATCAACATGACTGGTCTCAAGGGGTGGACAGCAGACATGATACAAATTTGGAGGTCAAAGACCCAGATTCTGCTGTTGGATTTGATGTGACAGTATGAAAAAAATGACAAGGTATGGAACTGTGCCTTTACAAGCTGGGGTGGGTAGTGGGACCCATGGCTGTGGTAGGGAACACTGGTTCATTCCATTTCACTTAGTTCAAATTCTCTCTTCTCAAAGTTTTACTGTCTAGCTGACCTATATAATTACCTCATGAGTTTCAAGGTGCCGTTAGTGGTCAGACAGACCTGCGGGAACTGGACCACACAGCTTGCCTCCCTTCTCTTTGTAAATAGGTGCCGTTAGTGGTCAGACAGACCTGCGGGAACTGGACCACACAGCTTGCCTCCCTTCTCTTTGTAAATAGGTGCCTCAAAGTGTGAAGACAAGGAGGTTCTATGAATGTATACATGGAGACTTCCTGATACCTCCCTCCCTCTCTCCATCTATCCATCCATCCATCCATCTATCCATCCATCCATCCATCCTTTTCTTTCTCTCCTTTCTTTTTCTTTGCTTAGAATTTGGTGGTTTCAGAAGGCTGAGTTCTTGATTTCCTCTTAAAGCTGTGCTGTCCTTCTGGTAAGTTTGTCCTCTCTCATGACTATTAGTCATACACAGATAAAATCCTGATCAGTCATTGAGGAAAGCCAAGACAAGAACTCAAGGTAGGAACCTGCAGGTGGGAACTGAAGCAGAGGTCATGGAGGAATGCTGCTCGCTGGTGGTCAGAGACTAGGGCAGTCTCATGTGCTTGCTCCCCAAGTGCAGACAGTCAAACAAGGCAAAAGTTAGGGTGTGCTATGTGGGGTGCTAAACTCACACGAATAGACAGTGTGGGAGTTGAGGGCAGATATACAAGCTAGGTGCTAAGGACGGTCAACAGTGAGGGAGAGATCAGAGGGTCAGAAGACAGGAGTGACAAGGAAGGGAAAGCTGATCCCACCAGAGACAAGAGGTGCCCCTCACAGACACCTTTCTGTAGAACAATCTTCGTATGCTGTAAATATGCCTTGCTCTCCTTGTTAATAAAAAGCTGACTGGCCAATAGCTGGGCAGTAAGAGATTGAACAAGACAGCCTGACACAGAGAGAATTCTGGGAAGGAGGAGGGCAGAGTCTTGGGAGTCGCCAGAGATGCAGGGCATGCTGTCCTGAGAAAAGGGACCGAGCCATATGGCAAAGCACAGATAACAAATATGGGCTAATTTATATGTCAGAGTTAACTAGTAACAAGTCTGAGCTATCAGCTGAGCATTTATAATCAATATTAAGACTCTATGGTTATTTGGGACTTGGTTATCAGGACAGGAAAGCTGCAATTACAACACCTGCTTCCTCTAAATCAGTCATTAGCAAACTTCCTAATGCTGTGAGCCTTTAATACAGTCCCTCATGCTGTAGTGTGATGCATTTATCTAATTATTCTTTATCAATAGAAACTCGGGAGTCAGATATTGGGGTAAGAACCTGGTTCATCAGAGAAGTGGCAGAGAAGCAACCAGTCACCTCCTCTCTCTCTCCTTCCTCCAACCAAAGGGCTAAGCATCTCTCTAAGCCCCTCCCTACTACTTCCTGTGTCTCTCTACAAAACCTCTATGGTCAATTTCGTCAAGTAGTAGCTAGCTCCACCCTCTGATGTAAGGTAAACTTTTCTTGGCAGTCTTGGGTGTGTCAGAGTGCAATCAATGTATCTCACAACAGTGGAGACCCCAAACCATGAAATTTTTTCATTGCTACTTCATAACTGTAATTTTGCTACTGTTAGGAATCATAACATAAATACCTGTGTTTTCCGATGGTCTTAGGCAACCTCTGTCAAAGGATCCATTGACCCTCCCAGGGTCATGACCCACAGGTTGGGAACCTCTGCTCTAAATAGATGTCACTGTCTGCTAATAGCACTACCAGCTGGTGACCTGGCCTTTAGCACCTTTGAGAGATACAGGACCAAGCTGTAACGCATATAAATTGTTGATTAGCAATTATATAATTAGGTAATAGTTATACATATATTAGCAATGTGAATTCAAGTATTTTAGAGCCAGGAATGTAACAGAGCAATGGAAGAATTGCCAACTTGAGCAAGTCTCTGAGTTCTAGGCTCAGTGCTGAAAACAAGCAAAAATAATTTTTATTGATGGCTACGTAATGGGCAACGTTTAATGTATGAATAAAACCTATGCTCCTTATCCTGCCCCATTCACCAGCAGCATTCACTTAAATACCTGTGGTTCTTAACCTGTGGGTCAAGACCCTTTTGGGGATGGAATGGCCCTTCCACAAAGGTCACATATCAGATATCCTACATATCAAATATTTACATTACAATTCCCAACAGTAGCAAAATTGCAGCTATGAAGTAGCAAGGAAAATAATTTCATGGTTGGGTGTCACCACAACATGAGGAACTGTATTAAAGGGTGGCAGCACCAGGAAGGTTGAGAACCACTGTCCTATGCCATCTTACAAACTCCCTTTTTCTAGACCTGTTTTATGGCACAGAATCCCTGCAGACCTGTTTTGTTTTTCTGAGTGTACATGCAGCATCTGGCCCATTTTAATTCATCTTCCTATTATTTTTTTCCTTGTTCTTCAAAGACATGGTCTTATACTTAGAAAGCTTCCAAGTGTTTAATTGCTGAAATAAGCCACAATAAAATGACACTCTTCTCCCTCCACCTTGTGAAGGGGGAAACAGCCTGTATATCCTCCATAAGGATCAGAAGGGTCTACTAGGAAATGTTCTCACATATTGACATTAGGCTACTGTGGTGGCTTGAAAGAAAATGGTGCCCAACGGGAGTGGCACTATTAGGAGGTGTGGCCTTGTTGGAGGAAGTGTGTCACCATGGGGGTGGGCTTTGAGATCTCTGTTGCTCAAGCTTCCCTCGGTGTGACTTCCTGTTGCCAGCAAGACGTAGGACTCTCAGCTACTCCAGTACCATGTCTGTCTGCACTCCATCATGCTCACAGTGAAGACGATAATGGACTGAACCTCTGAAACTGTAAGCAACCCACCCCAGTTAAATGTTTTCTTTACGAGCTTCCACGCTCATGGTGTCTCTTCACAGCAATGGAAACCCTAACTAAGATAGCTCCCATTCTCATCCTCACTTCACTTACCCTGACCCTCGGGGACCCTTCTGCGTTTGCCAACAGCCTTGGCTACTCTCCTTCCCTACCCAGCCCCCTGCAACGCCCTGCCACCCCCTTGTCTCCTCTGCCTCATCTCTGCCCCCTCTGTTCCCAGGCCCCCCCCCCCCGCCCACAGAGCAGATGTCTTCATCCTGGTAACAAAGGTTGCCCCGCCTCACTCAGACTTCACTTTTCTTTTTTTCCCACCACCTTGTGTCCATTCCCAATTAGTTTTTATCAGCTCAACCTGGTTTCACCCTCACTGTGAGTGCCAACCCCTCTGTCCCCACATTATCCAATATATTAGGCAACTCCTGGTTTCACTGCCTTGTCTGTGGGCTCCAGTTCCCATCAATTATTTAATAGCACCCACAAGCATCCTCTTCAGGCCTCAACCTTTCCGGTACTTTCTCTCCTCCATGCCTCCAGCCTGAGGGTCTCGCAGAAGGGTTTTCCCACCTCTGGTCTTGATGCACTGTCACACGTTGCTCGATGTCCTTAGATGGGGATACAGGAAGGCCTCTAACCTTCTCTTCATTGCTGTGTGACTGCCCCAGCTCCTCCAATGGCTAACCTATGTTTAACCCTCTCAAGTCCCTGATCACACGTCTGTCTCAACCCTCAACAGATGAATATCTCTGTTGCAAAATGAAGTGTTATCAGCTAAGAACCCCCTCTGGTTTATTTGCAAATCACTCATTCTCAGCTTCTTTGCAGCTCTAGGTATCACCTGCCTCAGGTTAATCCCTCCACCTGCGCCTTCCCTAATTATCCTGTAGCAGCAGCAGCAATTGCTCTGAGGAGTACATTATCAGAGACTTATCCCTTCCTTCCTTCCTTTCTTCCTTCCATCTTCCCTTCCTCCCTTCCTTTGCAGTTTTGTAACTTTATCTGACACTCGGTAATTTTCATCCACATTGACAGTCTGCCGTTTCCTGGTCTGTTGTTTTCTAATGTGGTGATGAACTTATAAAGTGTTTTAGGGTTTCTCTTGCTGAGATAAAGTGGATCTCTGTGAGTTGGAGGCCAATCTGATCTACAGAGCTGGTTCCAGGACAGCATAGGCTACACAAAGAAACCATCTCAAAAACAAGGCCAACAATAACAAAAACACCATGACCAAAAGCAAGTAAGGAGGAAGAGGGTTTTTTGTTTGCACTTCTAGCCTCAATTGAGAAAATGCCTCCATACAATCCAACTGTAGGCAAGCCTGTAGGACATTTTCTTAATTAGTAATAGATAGGGAAGAGCCCAGCTCATTGTGGGTGGTGCCATCCCTGGGCTGGTGGCCTTGGTTTCTATAAGAAAGCAGGCTGAGCAAGCCATGATGAGTAAGCTGGTGGGCAGTACCCCTCCTTGGCCTCTGCATCAGCTCCTGCCTCCAGGTTCCTGCCATGTTTGAGCTCCCATCCTGGCTTCCTTCATGATGAATAGTGATGTGGATGTGTGAGCCAAATGAACCCTCTCCTCCCCAAGTTGCTTTTGGTTGTGGTGTTTCGTCACAGTAATAGTAGTCCTAACTAGGACATCTCCATTTTTGTTTTCTTGGTTTTTTGCTTTTTTTTTTTTTAAGTATAGAGAATACGGGCTGGAGAGATGGCTCAGCAGTTAAGAAAGCTTCCTGCTTTTATCAGAGGACTCGAGTTCAAACCTCAGCACTCACATCAGGTGTCTCACAACTGCCTGTAATTCTAGTTCCAAAGAATCTTCTGGCCTCCATGTGTACACATGCACGCACCAACACACAAATAATTAAAAGCTTTTAAGATTATAGTTTAATTATAACATGTCTCCCTCCCAGTCTTCCCCTGAAACCCTCCCCACTCTCCTTCAAATTCATGGTCTCACCTATGGTGGACAGGATCCAGCAGCAGGGAAGGGAACCAGGCACACCCACCTCCTGAAGCTTCCACGACCTCCCCAAACCGTGCCACCTGCTGGGGGTCACATCTGGGGGTCGCATGTAAATGTGCACGTGTCTCTTGGTGTTGGAGCATTCATCGGCCTCAGATCCCCTCTCGTGTGTTGCCCTCTTCCTTACAGCTAGGTTTACAGGCACTGTCTACACGTGGCCTGTTGAATACATGAACTCCCCACCCGCTCCAATCTGGCCTTTGCCCTCTCCCTCCTCTGAAGATCCTTCCAGGCCTATCACCAGGCACCACCTGGGCTCTGAAAGCAATGGATACATTTCAATTCCCGGTTTTGGTCTAGCTCTCCCTGGCATCTCATCCTCACTCAGACCAGCCCTTTTCTCTGTGGGTCTGATCTCTTCTTGCCTTTGGCTCCAGCCTTATCTCCCGTGAGCCGTTCCTTCATCCTAACAGTCAATGGCTCATCTTCCCCTGCATTCCCCTTAAAGACAAGCTTTCCTGGGGAAACCCCACAGAAACAGCTGTCCTGAGCAAGTGGGAACTCATGGACGCCAGTCTGACAGCTGGGGAACCAACATAGGACCAAACCAGGCCCCCTGATCGTGGGTGTCAGTTAGGAGCACTGGGCAATCTATGGGGCCTCTGGCAGTGGAACCAGAATGTATCCCTAGTTCACGAACGGACTTCGGGAGCCCATTTCCCATGGCTGGATAATCTCTTAACCTAGATACACAGGCCTTGACACAGTCCCGGACCCTCAAATATTCTGGGTCATTTCAACCCCTCCTTCCTTGCCACCACATTTGATCGTTCGTTGAGACTTGAATTCTTGAATCTTCAGAACAGATCAGGTTCATCCCTTCTGCCCCACAGTTATTTCCATCTCTGCTACAGATGGCCCTCACTCGTGACTTAGCAAACCCAGTGAGAGAGGCATTGGAAGGAACTGCATTATCCAGTTGTGGGACCTAGGCACACAGTCACAGAAAACTGTCTCCATGCTGTGTGGTCGAGTCCAGAATGGCCATTCAGTAAGAGAGATGGACATGGAACAGAGGAATTGAGAACAGGCTGGAAGCCATGAGTGTGAGCTGAAGTCCACAGGCTGCACAGAGGCCTGCGCCTGTGTCATTGACCTATCCTACAGTTCCTGGGCCCTGTAGGTCTAGTGGGCCCATGCAAGCCACTACAGTCAGAAGGCCCTCTTGGCCTGCCTGCCAATCACTTTTGCTAGTGATGCAGTTCCACAGTAGAGCACCGACTTAGCATGTGCAAGGTCCTGGATTAAATTCCCAACTCTACAAAAACAATATAAAGCATCCAATAGGATCTTGGAGAGCTTATGGCTTAGGGCTAGAGCAATTGCCTAGTATGCCAGGCCCTGAGTTCTAACCCCAGTAACAAAACAAAAAATTACTTATATTATTTGGGGTCTGGTTAGTTAGTTAGTTGTTATATTTATTTATTTGTCCAAATTTAGGCATCTTAACTCCAAAAAGAACACTTTAAAAATTATGTTGTAAGCTGGGTGTTGGTGGTGCATGCCTTTAATCCCAGCACTGGGGAGGCAGAGGCAGGCAGATCTCTGTGAGTTCTAGACCAGCCTGGTCTACAAGAGCTAGTTTCAGGGCAGCCTCCAAAACAATACATAGAAACCTTGTCTCGAAAAACCAAAAATAAATAAATAAATAAATAATAATAATAATAAATAAAAATGCTGTAGCCAGAGCTACACAGAAAAACCCTGTCTCTAAAAAATTATGTTGCTAATTGTTGAACATACAAAAGGTTAAGAACTGCCACAAGTCGTGCATATAAGCCAACTACCCCTAGTACAAACGGTTTCATTTCTAGGCACGTCAGCCTGTTCTCACAAGGTAGGCTGTCTTCTCTTTTATCCCTGACTGATCATTTGTAGTCTTGTGGTGTCTCAGTGAGGCTCAACAAGCCACAGGAGCCGGTGACTCTTCAGTTCTTACCATGGAATGGCTTAAAATTCAAACATTAATTTAGGAGGGTGTGCGTGTGTGTGCATGTATGTATGTGCATGTGTGTCGGGGGCCTCCGCCATAATTCAGCCATAGCATTATCACGCCCTCCTCATAGAGAAGATGTGACTCCAGGTCACATTGCTGAAATACCTCCTCTTAAGATAGGAAGCGAGTTCTGAGAAAACAGACTTGCTGCTTATCTGCCTCATCACTAGGGCGTAGGCTTGTAAGATAGAAGGTAGGATGTGAAAGATAAAGTTAGAATCTGCAGTTACCAGAGGACACAGGATGACCGACCCATCCCACTGACCCTTCCTCCGCCAGGCTCATGGCAGCTGCAACACCCCCCCCCATTCCTTCCTCTCCTCCCTTCCCCTATAAAAATCCCTTTGGGATGAAATAAAGCTGTTGACTTGATCAGACTCCTGTCTTGTCCTTCTTCGTGTCTCCTGCCCCCATCTTTCTCCTAGGTGTCCTGCAGATCCACTTTGAATGTCCTGCAGGTTGGGGCACATGTGTGAGTGAGTGTTATATGTACATGTGAGTGTGTTGTACACATGTGTTGTATGTGCAAGGATATTTAGGTGCCCGTGCCTATATGCATGTACGCAGAGAGAATCAGAAGAAAGTGTGTATCTCCCTCGATTACTCTCCACCATATTCACTTGAGACAGTCTCCACTGAACCAGACATCTTCCTTTTTGGCTAGCCAGCCAATGAGTTTCCAGGATCCTCCTGTCTCCCCCGCCCTCCCCATAACACCCATTCCAGGGGCATCTGCAGTCATGAGTGCTGAGGGATGGAACTCGGGTCCTCATGTTTACAAGACAAGCTATTTGGGCCATCTCCCTGGATCCTGAAAACTCTTTCTGAATGAAGTTTTGGATTTGGATTCCTAGATTTCTGGTTATAGTTCTCCTGAGTCTACAGCACTTGTTCTTGCTTTGAGGCCCTGAACATGTGATCTGCCTGAACTCCTTGGTTCTTTGTGGAACTAACTCGTATTCATTCTTCCAAGCATGTCTCAGATGCCAAGCCCTACAGGAATCCTTGCTAACCCCCCTACCCACCAGGTCTGAATCAGGGCCTAACTTTTATACTTTCTGTTGTGGTTAGACTGAAAAATTATAATGTCAGCTTCTTTTTGTTTGTTTTGCTTTTGTTTTTTTTTAAAAAAAAAAGATTTATTTATTTATCACATATACAGTGTTCTGCCTATATGCCAGAGGAGGGCACCAGATTGAATTGTAGATGGTTGTGAGCCACCATGTGGGTTCTGGGAATTGAACTCAGGAGCTCTGGAAGAGTAGTCAGTGCTCTTAACCTCTGAGCCATCTCTCCAGCCCCTTGTTTTTGTTTGTCAATGCATGGTTTCTCTGAGGAGCCCTGCCTGTCTTGGAACCCACAGAGATCCATCTACCTCTGCCTCTTGAGTGCTGGATAAAAAGCATGCACTACCATCACCTGGTCTAAAGCTTTTTTTAAAAAACAAAAACAAAAAAGCAACTTATTATTATTCTGTGTGTAGGATGTATGAGTGCACACCTGCAGGCCAGGACACATGAGGGTCAGAGGGCAAAGTTCAAAACCAGTTCTCTCCCACCACCTTAGTGTGTGCTCATTGGGCTTGTGCAGCAAGCACTCTGCTCACTGAGCCACCTTGCCAGCCGGATAAGCTTTTCAGTTCCTCGTCCTCAGGACCTAGCACAGTGCCTTTCATAAAGCTGTTGGTTTTCTTAACTGAAGAAGAGCTCAGGGCATTACTCATGTGGAGGAACATCTTTTTGATCCTGTGGAATCCAGGTCCATTGCCCAGGGAAGAGCCCTGGACACAGGCTTAACTGCCTCTCCCAGCCCTTTCATGAGAAAGGTTTCTGTTTACTGTGCTTACAGCATTCCCAAGAAGCTCCTGGCTAGTGATTCACTCACTGCTATTGTGGATGTTTCAGTGTTGCTGGAGAACAATCATATCAAAGCCTTCACTTTGGAGATTGCCTTTGCCCGGCAGAATTCCCTTTGAGTCATTTATACTAAGACAATAATGAAGATGATGAAGCAATAATTAAACAGATTTTCCCACAAGAATGTTAACTGAAGCAATGTTTTTTTTTCCAGAGTAAGAAAAAAGAAAGAAAGGATCATTGCATCAACTGTCCAAAAGCTTCCATGTAGTTGTTAAAAATTAAACTACAGAAAAGGGCTTATTTATGTTAGTTATTATTGTCGGCTTTTACAATCAAGCTACAATAAAGAATTATAGTACTGTATTACTTTTATATAAAATGGGTGTGGCATGTGCATAGAAGGAAATCTCCGATATTAAACAATTACTAAGCAGTACTACGGAGCAGGCTTGCTTTCCAACTGCTTGCAGGCTTTCTGGATTTTCTAGTACCACACGAATCACACTGGTGATAATCTTCTAATGAGAAGAAAAGTCTGAATAGCTTTGAGTCAAGTTTATTGAAACCCTCTACACCCAGCTCCATTCAACGGCATGTGTATTTCTTGGACAGAAAACAAAAAAGAAAAAATAAATTATTAAACCTCACTATTCACTAGGCACATGCTGTCTGCATGGTCTTGTATAAATATGAATGCTGTCTATATTTTTTAACTTAATTTTTTCTTAAATTACAATTTTACTTCTTTAATAGGCATGAGTCCCTCGGGAGTGGGGGGGATATGCACATGACTGGGTGTGGCGGTCAGAGGACAATATGTGCAGACAGTTCTCTCTTTCTGTGGTAGATTCTGGAGATTAAACCCAGGCTGTCAGGCTTGGCAGCATCACCTTCATCCAGTGGGCCATCTCACCAGCCTCTACGTTGTCATTGATAAGAAAGCCAGCATCAAGGGGGGAAAATACCTGTACCTGAAGTCACACCCAGCATGTCGACCATCTGTGAGTGTGACTCTGTCTGTCCCCAGCTACTCTCCTGCCACCTGAGAGCCTCCGGTCCAGGCCAGCACCAGCACTGATAAGGGTGAAAACAAGCCAGGCCCTGAGAGTGTAGTCCTCTGATGTAAGCCCACAAGAGGCCAGTGATCCTTGCATCCAGGAAACCAGATCAAAGCCCTGGGGACTTTGCCCTGGGTTAAGGGATAACTGTGTATTTGTCTGAGGGTTGACCCAGCAAGCCCCATGATGGCCAAGAGCAGCAAACACCATGTGCTGACTGGAAGCACATGGTTGGGAATTTTGGGTTCACTGACTCTGTGGCTGGTGTGCGCTCTCAGATGTCTGATTTCTCAGGACTTTGGCTGTATCATTCCAGGAAAGCAAGCTTTGATGGACAGACTCTCTGAGGGCCTGCCAATCTCTACCCTCATGATTCTGATGCAGTATGAATTGCATTACTGGTTTGAAGTTGGAGGGATGGAGATATGCATTTCCAGTGTTCCAAAGGTGCCGTGTCACCAGCCTTCACTGGGAGGAAGATGTCCTTACGCCCAAGAGGAGGAAACTGGTTCTCAGAGAGAGCTAAGTTCTCAGACTTTTGAGTGGCTTTCTTCATGGGATCGAATCGCTCTCCCTCCACACCACACATATCTTTAAACCATGAGGACTATATACCTCTGTTCCTAGGAAATTTATGTATGAAGTGTAAGGTAGTACTTTCTCTGAAAAAGGCTGAAGGCCAGCGCGCTACCTTCCTAGGACAGGATCACAGGGGGCTGCTCCGCTCACCTACCGGGTCTTTAGCCTGGCTCCGGAGTTGGAAAAAAATCAAAGCTATTTATATTTCTTCTTATTTTTTAAATGTATATGGATGTTTTGCTTACACATGTCTGTGTGCCATGTGTGAGCAGTGCTCATGGAAACCAGAAGAGGGCATCAGATCCCCTCAAACTGGAGTTAACAGACAGTTATTAGCCACCATGTGGGGGTTCTGGGACTTGAACCCAGGTCCTCTGGAAGACAGCCTATGCTCTTAAGCCCTGGGCCATCTTCCCAGGTCCAGGAAGAAGCATGTCTTAATGTTTATTTTTACTTATCCCCCCAAATAAACTCCAACCACAGGTCTCTCAGAGACTTTACTCTCCCTGTGCTCTGAGAATCTGGACACCCATGTGTGAGTAAAGGATATTAAACACATTTCATGAACTATAAAAAAGAAAAAGTTTCTCAGTTTCCACTAACTAAAAGTTACTGATAGTGGTGAGGAAGTGTAGCAAGCTCTCTTGTTGAACTATCCTTGAACTGCCAGGCCACAAATAATGACCCGGACACTTATTAATTATGAAAGCTTGGCCTTAGCTTAGACTTTTCCTCAACTAGCTCTTATAACTTAATTAACCCATTTTTTTAATCTACATTCTGTCATGTGGCTCAGTTACCTCTTCTTAGTATGGCATATCCAACTTGCTCCAAGTCTGCTGGTAAAATCACGTGTCTAGAATCTTCCTCTCAGTCTCCTCTCTCTCTCTCTCTCTCTCTCTCTCTCTCTCTCTCTCTCTCTCTCTCTCTCTCTCTCTCTCTCTCTCTCTCTCTCTCTCTCTCTCTCTCTCTCTCTCTCTCTCTCTCTCTCTCTCTCTCTCTCTCCTGGAAGTCCAGCCTATTCTCCCCTGCCTAGCTATTGGTCATTGAGTTCTTTATTAAACCAATCAGAAGGCTCCTTAGACACATGTTTACAGTGTAAACAAATATTCTGAAACAAGGAAAGGCAGGAAATGCAAAGATCTCACTTACTCTATCTAGGTTCATAGTAGAATCTCTCACATTCCCTCTTCTCTGTCAACCCACCCAGAGTTGTCACCTCTTACCTTCTGTCTTCCATTCACATTTACTATTGTCTTTCCTCGATGCTTTCATAGCGTAGCTCAAAACCTCATGCGTGTGTGTCTCTCTCTCTCTCTCTCTCTCTCTCTCTCTCTCTCTCTCTCTCTCTCTCTCTCTCTCACACACACACACCTTTGCTGTAGTAGTTTGAATAAAATGTCCTGCATAAACTTAATAAACTTAGATATTTGAACACTTGGTCCCAGTTGGTGTCCTTGGCAATGGCTTCGCTTGCTTTCTTTTACAGAAACTCACTCTTTGAGTTCCTCCTTTCTGTACACAGTCAGCTTCCACTCTCTATTCCCCAGGAATCATGTCAAAGAGCCTGGCTTTCTAATAAAGACAGGGATTGAGCTGGACATAGTGGCGCATGCCTTTAATCCCAGCACTGGGGCCAGAGGCAGGTGGATCTCTGAGAGTTCAAAGTCAGCCTAGTCTACAGAGTGAGTTTCAGGACAGCTAGGGATATGTAGAGAAATCTCAAAAGAAAATAAAAAGACTAGAATTAAAAACCAGATTCAGTTATGGGTGGGCTTGTGTCTCCTTGTTTGTAGGCCTTTTGAGCTGACAGCGTGGAAATTAATCATGTCAGAAGGATGTCTGTCAAAATCTGAATTCACTAGATGCCTCTGGTGTGCAGCCAAAGCCCTGGCGTTTCCTTGTCTTCTGTCACATTCTTGGCTCCCAGTGCAGTTTTTCAACTTCACAGTGCATGCAAATAGCTTTTAAAGTTGCTATACACAAACTACTTCATGCTACATTTTTAAGGCTATTATATGATCAAAGAGCTGCGTTCAACAAGAGGTAGGTCAGCAGGGCGAGCTGTCTTTTTCTTCCTTCTGCTGTGTCTGGTGTTCATCTGAAATTCAAGCTCACTCTTTTTTGTTTGAATTTAATTTTTTACCCCTCCATTCAATTTTATTTATTAATTTTACAATTCTGGGTGTGGAAAACATTAGCAGTGTCCTAAAATTCAAAACTATGCAAAAAAGAATACTGTGAAAATACGATATTTTGAGGGACAAATTAATCTTTCATATTTGCGTTTCGAATTTTCTTTGAATCCCTGCTGGGAATACTCTGCTCCAGTGGGATTTGCTGGGCTTTCCACAGTCATCCCTCCCCTGTTCCCGGGGTACTTGCACGTCTTTATTCCTGAGCTTGAGTATGCCAGAGCCAGGAGAACAGGGGCTTAAGTCAAACCCTGCTTCTGCTGTGTGATATGCATTAGAAAAGACACCTGCTATCAAATGGGATGACCTTTGACACAGCCTCACTCCTTGCCATTCCATGAGAGCGCCCTGCGCTTACCCATGCCTGGCATCCATCCTCCCCCCCCCCCCATCTTTCTGAATCAATGTTTGTGCAGTACTTATTATGGTGGATTTCAGCAATTAAAGCCACATCTTGATTGAGACCTATGGGAACCAGCTTCTCCATGGGTGGAGAAGGACATCTGCAAGGCAGCCACACCCTGTGGGTGGGTTTGTAAAAGTGCTGGGAGAAGCCTAGGTGGGAACAAAGTGCTGGGTAGCTCCTTAGAAAGAAACCTAATTAGAGCCTATTCTCCCAGAGACCTTGCCTCTCACTCGCATTCAGGGTGTATGCCCGTCCCGAAACCCAGGTAAGCAGCGCATTGTTCCTGGGTTCGGAAGTGATGGCTGCTCTCTGTTGGCAGGTTATAAAAAGGCAATCAGAGGAAGAACCTGGCAGCATCTCTCAGCTCCACTGGGAACACCAGGAGAGGCTCCCTCTGGTTAGTAAATTAACAAGTGGGGTTCTGCCTTATACACCAGTAGCTTGTGTGAGTTGATCGCCCAGCCTGAGTGACTCCCAGTCCTCAGGAAAATCTGGCTGTGAGATCTGCAAGACTGAGCTTCACCTCGAGTGCGGCTTCCCCTGTGAAGACTTCTCTCTTAGATCAATAGGACTGTGAGTATATGATGTGGGTGGAGATCCTCCTGCCCTTTCCTTACTATTTAGAATCTTTTTTGGTGAGGTACAGAAGTCAAGCTGATAGCCGAGCACTGTTTTCTTTCTTTTTCTTTTTTTTTCAGTTTAAATTTAGATAAGAAACAAGGTTGCTTCACAAGTCAGTTCCAGGTCCCTCTCCCTTTCCCTCCCCTCCTCCCGTGCCCTCCCCCCAACCCTCCCCCATTATCCCCTCATTTCCCCAGGGAGGGTGAGGCCCTCCGTGGGGGTGTCCATAGTCTGTGATTTCATATAGGGCAGGGCCTAGACCCTCCCCCAAGAGTTCAGGGTGAGAGTGCACCTCACATTGTTGGATGGGAGTCCAAAGTCCGTGTGTATACTCGGGATGGGTACTGATCTGCTGCCCAAGGCTCAATAGATTACCTAGGCCTCCTCACTGACACCCAGATTCAGGGGGTCTTGATTAGTCCCATGCTAGATTCCCAGGCTGATGCCTGGGCGAGCACTGTTTTCACTGGTCCTCACACCCAACCTAGGTGGTATGGAAAAACACTTCCAGGGTTCCTATTGGCGAGTACGGAACTAGAACTAAACCTACGCCTGTTTGAAACCAGCATCTGTACTATTTATTGGCCTCTCCCCAACAAGAATTTTGATAGGAAATCCCACTTGCAATACAGGAGGCAGTCTTTCCCTGCAACCATTGTCGATGGGAAACTGCTTTTTAAAAAAATTTAAATTAGAAACAAGCTTGCTTCACATGTCAATCCCAGCTCCCTCTCCTTCCCCTCCCCTCCGTATCCAGTCCCCACTCAACCCTCCAGGGAGGGATCTCCAAAGTCTGTCATATTATCCAGGGCAGGGCTGAGAGAGCATCCAGACTGTCCAAGCTAAGAAAGCATCCCTCCATGTGGAATGGGCTCCCAAAGTCCATTCAGATGCCAGGTATAAATACTGATCTAGTACCCGAGGCCCCAAAGATTGCCAAGGCCTCATCACTGACACCCACGTTCAGGGGTCCTGGAGCAGTCCCATGCTGGCCTCTCAGCCATCAGTCTGGGGTCCATGAGCTCCCCCTTGTTCAGGTCAGCTGGGGAAACTGTACTTTAATAGTCTAAAATTTTCCAATGATTGCCTAAATGTGACTAGCATTAGAGAGCCAGGTTCTAGGAGGAGCGACCTGAGACAGAATGGTAAGAGGTGGCCTTGGGCTGGGTGGGTTGGCAGCAATAAATAACATCTGGTTCTAGAAAGCAAGTCGAGATGAGTTAGGAAAAGCACAGCAAACACACACACATGTCTGAGACTGACTTGTTCTGCTTATAATGATTTCCATCTGAATCTACCTTCCTGCGTGCATCATGATCCATCTCTTTCTTTAATTGCTTTCGTGTGACCATTCCTGGGGAAATACCAACAAATATATTCTCACCCCAGAAGGCGTATCAAGGACAGACCAAAGAAGCCATTCAGGCCAATCTATCTTGAACTCATGAGCTCATGATAGATGGGTGGGAAGTTACTTCCTACAGCATAACTGACTCAAAGACAGCTGGGTCACTGAAGAGCACATCCCAGCAGGAGTGATTGTCAATGGTAGTGGACACTCTAAGCACACCCCAGCAGGAGTGACTGGTTGTCACTGGAGGTGGTCATTGTTTCCTGCAGTAGCCTGAAGAGTTCCCTGGGTCTTTTTCCATCAAGTTCCCCTTGACTCAGGTCGAACCAGATCTTCTGATGCAGGAAAGAATTTCAGAGCAAGCCCTCACAAAGCAGCCAGGAAGTATTTAATAGGATTAATAGGAGCAGTTGCTGGAGGACACTGGATAGGATTACAACTGGTGAAGAAATCCTGGGTGACAGCTGAAGGAAGATGTTATTACTACAAACAATCTTAACCTTTCAGAGTATGCCAATCCAAGATCATGGTTTTCTCTCCAGTTCATTGCTATTCTGATCTGAGACAGCAGCCTTCACAGCAAATGTCAATTATGTAGTAATTCCTGCTTCCTGGCTGGTGAGAGGCTTCAACCAGGCTCCAGCCTGAGGGTTCCTTTCTTCCGCATGGTTTGCCCTTTCTCATCTGGCTCAAAAAGCTGCATCCAGAGTCTCACTCTAGAGTCTCCTTTGACCTTAGTTAGCAATTACTGTGGGGAGTGGCTTTGTGAGTCTTGTAACTTTGTGAACTTCCTAAGCTTCTTAAGTTTCCTGGACCTTGTAACTCTCCCTTCAGATTCCTGAGGGGGGGAGGTTTATAGTGCAATGAAATGGTAACACAGCATTGCCCTTACCCTCATCCCTGGCACATCCTCCCCCACTTCACCCATTGGACACACCTTGGACCATGGCTCCGGTCTCTGGCTGAATGCTGCCTCTTGCAGGAAGGGTTCCCTGTGCTTGCCTCGTCTCCACTCCTTAAGAGCAGGAACTAAGATTTTATAATCGCACTGGAAGCCTTGGGCAAGCTTTCTAACCTTTCCTATACAATAGGAATCATTGTACCTTCTAAATGCCTGGTTCAGAAGAAAAGCAGTATTTAGTGCAGGGCTGGGCAGATTATAAGAACCTATCAGGGTTACTTTTATACAAGCCTGGTTCTTTGCTGACATGTGGAGGAGTTGGTGCAAGAAAGGAAAGATAAGGGTGGGAAGGAGAGAGGGGCAGATCAATGAGCTCTGGAGACCATCTTTAGAAAGGGCAACTAGTCTGGCCTCTTCCCTATGCCAACCCTCCGAGGGCTCCCGTAAGCTGTCGGGAGGAGGAAGGTTGGCCTCAGGTGTATTCGAACCTACAGCTGAATGGTGGTAAGGAAGCTCCATCCTAGTGACAGTGAGAAGCAGCACAGAGAGGCAGGCACTACCCCCACTGGAGCTAAAGGGCCCTTAGCACTTGCAAGGTTCGAAGCCCCACACAGATGAGGAAGCTGGGCTTAAGAAGGGTTATACCACTAGCCTGGCTCATGCAGATAAGGGTCTCATCAGAGTCCTGTCTACCAAGTGGCCGGGACCTTTTTTAGCGTGTGTTCATCTGCCCTTCATTAAAGTTGTTCCGGTGCCTCCACCTGAATGTCATGAGTACATTTCCTCGGGCCTCAGACGCACTAGCAGAGAGGACCCCATAAACGTGTGTCCACAGCTGACTGAAACCAAATCTCTGCTGAACCCCAGAATTTGAATATCTGATTTTTGAGTCCATAAAGGAAAATGTCAACACAGTTAAACATAAAAAAACAATTTTTTAATTCATCGATTTATGGGCCCAGGATTGTGAGAGGGTGAACTTATAAAATGAAGTTGCAGACACAAGAGAAGCAAAATGAATTTTTATTGGTTATAGTAGAAACCTTCTGTCTAGAGGTTAGCTGTTGTTTTCTAGTCTCAGCGTTTACCCTGAGCTTTGTTTTGTTTTGTAGGAAGTGAAATTCCAAAACCTTCCCAGTCTAATGGCCTCCCAATTTGTGTTGCTTTTTTTTTTTTAAGTAACTATTTCTGGTTTCAATGCCCATGTTCTCATGTTATTCCCATTTGAAAGCACAACTGAGAGCCCATTTCTAAAGAATTGTGATCTCCGGATTTGGGTTTGTAAATCAATCTTTACTAACAACTTGTTTATTTAAAAAAAAAATTAGTGGACTCTGCATCGTATTAGCCTGTCCATCCTGTGCTGCTGTCCCAGAATCCCACTCACCATGCTGGAGACTGGGACATCCACTGGGGACAGGCTTCTTGTTGTGTCAACTGCAGTGGAAGGGGAGGGGAGGACGCTCGGTATCACAAACTCACTCACCTGACATGGACAGTTTCCACTCATGAGGACAGACCCCGTGGACTTAATCTCTTTTTAAAGGTGCCACCTCTCCACTGGTTTCAATAGGTGGTTGCTTTCCCAGCCTCTGAGCCTTGGGGACGTGCTCAAGCCACGTCAGCCTTAACTACCTCTTGATTCAAAACAGCCTAACTCAATTCCTGGCATTGTGCAATTGCACAGTGAGAACTTGTGAGTTACAGGTGGCAGTATTACGCAACGTTTAGCAACGTGCCAGCCACGGTTCTAGCCTTCTGCACGAATGATTTCTGATGCAGGGGCCATGATTAGCACATTTGACAGATTCGGCAGCCAGGCTTACAGCAGGTAAGTGGCTTCGCCACCTCAGTGGGTTGGTAACTGAAAGAGCATAGCTAAGTGCTTAATCAGCAGTGATATGAAAAAAATACTTTTACACTTACTTGTTTGTATGTTTGTTTCTGTGCATGGGGAGTGATGAATGTGCCACACGCATGCTCGCTTGTGGAGGCCAGAGCACAGCTTTTGGAAGTCAGTTCTCTCCTTTCACCCTGAGGGTCCCAGGAATTGAACGCAGGGCATTGGGCTTGGCAGCAAGCACCTCTACTGGCTGAGCCATCTCCCCAGACTTGATGAAAATGCTGAAAGGGAAGGCTTCTGTGCGGGTTCTGGCCTGATTCAGTCAGGAGTTCCACCCTTTCTGAACCCTGGTTTTCTCACCTGGTTGCTAACTTGTCTTCAGAGTTTTTAGTGAGTGTCTGTACCACCACTAAGTTAGTGAGCAAATGCCATTACCTGATTGCCTGTGAGTGGCAAATAAAAAAGATCTGTTTTCTGCTCTACTATGATACAATTAAATTTATCATCATAAATTTAAGTCATTTATTAAATTTATCATAAAATTAAATTTTTCTTAGTAACAGTAATGTTAGTTAAAAGAACATGTCAGGTGTTATATTTAGATTTAATATGAGACCAAAGTTTTAAGTCAATTTAGATACTTTAGCAGCACTGACAGCTTTTCCCTTGCTTGGTTCACTATTGTCAGCCATAGTTTACCACATGTCGGGTTTCCATCTAGCCTAGAGGGATGTTTCTTTCCAGCTACTTGGAAGATCTGACTCGAAGTTAAAATCTTTGGTCCCTCTCACCAGGTTCCCACGAAAAGGCCGCACAGACTGGAAATTCTTCTGTATGAACAAAGACATTTCCAAGATGTATCTGTGGATTAAAAGTAAACACTACTTAGAAACCTCTTGTGTGCTCTGGTAGTTGTAGGGAACTGTGTTTGAAATAGTGTTGACCCCCCAAAGCTTTGGAGTCTTTGAGATGCTCTGTGTATTGAGGGCCTGACACATGGGTGCTGGTGGACGCAGCCCTACCTCCATCTGTCTGAACACAGAAAGCCTGGGCTGGGGTGGAGGTAGGGACTGAGGGGTTGCTCATCTTAGGGAATGCTTGCAGAGGCAGCCTAATCTGCAGTATTCCTTCCTGACTCGAACCTTTGCTTTCACGGTAGCTTCTGCTGGGGTGTGTGTGTGTGTGTGTGTGTGTGTGAGAGAGAGAGAGAGAGAGAGAGAGAGAGAGAGAGAGAGAGAGAGAGAGAGAGAGAGAGAGAGAAACTTTTTTAGTAACCTGTGGATGTAGCTCAGCTATAGAATGCATGTCTGATATAAGTGAGGCCCTGGGTTTGACTCTTGACAATACATACTCATAAAATGTGTGTGTGTGTGTGTGTGTGTGTGTGTGTGTGTGTGTATGTGTGATGTATGATGGTAGACACATGTAATCCCAGAAACTTGAAGGACTGAAGCAGTAGGGTTAAAAGTTTCAGGACAGACTGGGGAACTAAGGATATGTGTTTTTGTAGCCAGGAATGTTGGTATGCACCTTTAATTCCAGCACTTGGGAGGCAGATGCAGAAGGATTACAAATTCAAAGTCATCTTCAGCTGCATAGCAAGTTCTAGGCTCTGTCAAAACAATAAAAATAAATTACTTTTCATATCATCCTAATAAGTAGAACGTCCCTGAGCTGTAAATGGAAGCTAAGAAAGAGAGGCAAGAATCATGGCCAGGCGGGGGGGGTGGTGGTGGTGGTGGTGGTGGTGGTGGTGGTGGTGGTGGTGCACACCTTTAATCCCAGCACTCAGGATGCAGAGGCAGGCGGATCTCTGTGAGTTTGAGGTCAACCTTGTCTACAAAGCCAGTTCCAGGACAGCCAGAACTATTATATAGAGAAATTCTGTCTCCAAAAACAAAAAATTAAAGAGGAATTATGGTCAGTCTCTATGACCATAATTATCTTTCTCTTAAAAGTATCAGGTTTTGGGTTCTCTCTCTTTCTCTCTCTCTTTGTGGAAAGCTTCACAAATTTGCATGTCATTATTGCACAGGGGCCATGCTAATCTTCTCTGTATTGTTCCAGTGTTAGTATATGTGCTGCCAAGGTGAGCACCAGGTTTTTGTATCTTAATTTACTTGTCAGTGCACAAAAGGAAGACAAGATCTACAGTGTGATGGGAAAAGTGTTAGGATCTCTTTAACTTTTCCCCCCTTAGATACAATTTTGAGATGAAGCACAAGGTTTTCCTGACAGATACCCGTGCTAGAAAGGGAAATTTTTGAATTGTGCTTATCTTCAGTTCCGGGCAGAGTAGACTCTCATCTGGACAGGTGGTGGGAGGTGATCTGGGAAGACCAAGGTCTCTGTTCCTGCCCAGGCAATAGTGTGGACATGAGACCGTCTACAGGGAAGGTGGAACACGGTGCTAGGCTCCCCTGTATTGCAAATAGAGACCGGGACAGAAGCCATGTCTCCCGCATCATGTCAAACATCTGCTGTAATTACTGGGAAAAGGTTAGGAAACTTAGCATGGCATGCTCCAGTTCTAAGGTTAGAACATTGACAAATCCCATCTAAAATATTGACTCAAAACATGCCCTGTTTGGATCAAGGTGATGTTAGAACATAGTGTTTCAAGTCACATTCAGCCATTCTGGTTGCAATTACGAAACTTCTCAAGTCAGCCTCGAGGCCCCACAACAGGGCCCACCCTGGCATCTCTACACACTGATCCCACCTTGGTTCCCCCCCAGGATGGCTCTGCTCAAACTTCTGGTGTTCTGCACCCTGGCTGCATGCTGCGTGGCTCGCTCTCCTCCTGGGCCACCCCTCCCCCCTGCACCGCCCCTCACCGGCTCCCTACTTCTGGATGCTCTGAGCTGTAATGACTCCCAAGTGCTGGCAGTTGCAGGCTTTGCCCTGCAGAACATCAACAGAGACCAAAAGGACGGCTATGTGTTGAGTCTCTCCCGAGTGCACGATGCTAGGGAGCACTACCAGGCAAGTGACAGCCTTTGGGGCAGCATTTGGACAGGCTGCAGAGACCAGCCAGGGGTGGCAAGTCAGGGCTACTTGTCAGCAGGTGCCTTCCAGTTTGGAAGCACAGTGCTCCACCATTGTCAGCCGGTGTTCTAGACACCTTTGCTGCCCCTCAGCACAAGCGCTGACAGCGATCCACTCTGGGCTTCAGCAGTGTAGTTATACACATGCTTTGGCTCACCCAGGAAGACGCTATTTGTCCGGTTGTCCTGAGATTATTTCATGTGGGGTGGGGGTATTTCTCCAACCCTACCACAGGAGGACATGGGATCCCTGTTCTACCTCACACTGGATGTCTCAGAGACTGGCTGCCACGTGCTCAGCAAGAAGGCACAGAAGGGCTGCGGCCCGAGGATCTTGCACGAGTCAGTAAGTCCTTAGGGGCAGGTGCCTGTTGCTTGTCTGCTATCTGTTCATGTCTTTCTTACCTCCCAGGCAAAGGGCCTGCGCGCTTAGTCTAATATAGACACAGGACCAAGTTTAATCAGGAAGGGAGGCTCCTATGATGTCCTACTGGGGTCTTACTGACTAGACTCCAAAACGTCTCCCCAAATTGTTTTCTACCCTAAGATCCTTCAGCAGCCACCAAGGGGAGGGAGGGAGACAGGGAGGGAGAGAGAGAGAGAGAGAGAGAGAGAGAGAGAGAGAGAGAGAGAGAGAGATTCTGGTGTGTAAATAAGGCAGACAGCAGCAGTAATGGAGAGTGTGTCTTGCTTTATTTTGCTTGGTTTTCTTTTGGTGAATATTAATATGAGGTTTTCGTATAGGAAAGGGGTGATTTGCAGTGTGGGGATCACCAGGGGTCTTCTAAGAGAACTTCCTGAAGCATAGAAGTAAAGGGTCTCGGACTTTATCCTTTTCTTAAATAATTACTTTATTCTCCTATGCGTATGGGTACCACATCCATGCAGTGCCCACAGCAACCATAAGGTGCCATAAGAAACGCCCCCTCCCCCCACCGCCCCCCACCGCCCCCTCCCCCTCTCCCCCACCGCCCCCTCCCCCACCGCCCCCAGTTGGAGTTTCAGTTGGTTGTGAGTCACCTTATGTGGACACTGCGAACCAAACTCCAGTTCCCTAGAAGAGTAAATAAGTGTCTTAACCGTTAAACCATCTCTCTGGCCTTGAGCTCAACTTTTCAATGATGGGTACTGACAAGACTTAAAACCAAGGGAGTTAGTTTTCACCTTACTCTTAGTGATTCTAGGATCTCTTCCACACGTGGACACAGACTACCATAAAATACAAGATGGGATCTTCAGTTGTTTGAATCAACTTTTTGATCCAGATTACCTCTCCTCATTATTTGACAAAACATGCCAACCTGCACCTGATTTTGAAAAACAGACTCTGTATGTCCTCTTGTTAGAGTTGGTCCAGTGTCACAGGACCCCTACAGAGAGGTATATGCATGCCCAGTAGCACACGGGACCCCACAGAGAGGTGTGTGCTCACTCAGGAGCACACAGGACCCCAGAGAGAGGTGAATGCTCACTCAGGAGCATGCATGACCCCACAGAGAGGTGTGTGCTCACTCAGAAGTACACGGGACCCCCACAGAGAGGTGTGTGCTCACTCAGGAACACACAGGACCCCACATTGAGGTGTAGGCTCACTCAAGAGCACATGGGTTAGGAGTTTATTTCTTGTGTAATTTTAAATGTAAATTTCCAGGGGATTTTATTATGTAATCTCAAACCTGAAGCTTTTGGCCAGGGAATTTTATTCTGGGAGCTGACCTTGCTACCTCCAACTGTGGCTCCCTAGTCCCCATGCTCACTGGCATCAGGCTGCTGAAAGACCAAGGTTGGAGAAAGCAAACATGCAGACAGTGGCAGTAAAGCGTGGCAACGACAAACTTTGTGCTCCATTCCTACAGTTAGAAGGACCCGTGCCTAAGTGTGAGAAGGCTGGGGGTGGCTGCGCTCCAGGAAAAGGCAGCACAGAACTTGATTCTAAGTTTCTCGTTACAGTAAAGCAAAATTCTACTTGACATGGGAGGGTGGAGGTGGGGGGAATGTGCTAGCCTCGTGGTTCTCGGCATCATGCCATCAAGTGTATTTGTTGTTGTTGTTGTTGTTGTTTTCTAGGTTTATGGCCAATGCAAAGCAATGTTTCACATTAACAAGCCAAGAAGAGTTCTCTATCTACTTGCTTATAACTGTACTCTTCGCCCAGGTGAGAGTCAAGACAGAAAAAGAGCACTTAACTAAGGCTTTGTCAGGTTGGCATGAGGTTTCTCCTCCCTTACTGTGTTCCCCATGGTGCCCATTGCTTGGTCCTCTAGCACTGCTCCCCCGCTGACAATCACCATATCCCCCCCCCCAACCCCAGGGAACCTCCCTAAATCACTATCAAGAGCTAGGACCTGCTTCCAATCCTAAATTTTCAGTCTCCGGCTTTGAGTGGCACTGGACCAACAGTTGATCCCAGGTTCCTTTCTGTCTATGCCACTGTCCTCCTGTCACCCTGGCAACGGATATGTCACACATCACATGGTCCCATCTTTGTGTTTGCCTGAGCCTCTCCCTCCACCGAGGATGCCCTTTCTGACCTCTGTCCAGGAACTCAAACCCCTTCTTTACAGAATGTCCCAGTGCTGCTTTCACGAGGCCAAAGGAATGTTGTTTTCCCACTGTAAAGTTTCTCTACTTTGGCTAAAACACTCAAAATGCACAACACGGGTTACCTTGATTTATAGTCTTATATCGTCTATCATATGGGATGCACATCCCTCACCCCCAGCTAAAGACGTCTGAACTTATACCAAGTTTCAAAAGTCAATGCTGTTGCCATATAACAGGCAAGAATAAGGTCAAAATGAATGGACAGTTGAAGTGGGTTCATGTCTCCTGGATCCTGCCTTGTACAAGAGAAAGTCATTGAACAGCAGGGGTCCATTGCATGGGAAGGTGGGAAGTGCCCACTTAACAGACTATGTGCATGCACTCTCCCTGTAAATCTAGTCGAAGTGTAGACTCTGATTCCATCGGCCTATCGGGGCCTGAGAGCCTGAGTTTCTAACAAGCTCTAGATGCCCAGGATGCTGCTACTGCTTCCTTGAGGTAAGGAAGCCCCAGAGCAAACACTGTATGAGCCACAGCATACAGTGTGAACACAGGACCAGTCTGAAATAAGTCAGAGGACAACGGAAAAGAGCGCCAGTAATTTCATAGGTATGGGGACTTGCTATGAGGTACCAGTGGCAGAGTGTGGACACAGCTCTGCCACCATCTTCCTCCATCCCCAAATATCCATTAATTAAGATCATGGATTTTCTCTGAAAACACTCCAAGGCAAATTCTCTGGCTTGATGAGTGCACATTTGCCATCTCCAGCTCTTCCCAAAGAGATTGCAACTGTACTGATGGCATGGTGGTGTAGCAAGTTTTGCTTTCTGACTTATTTGCATTTCTAACCAAAGGTGGTATGTTCCCACCATAATGACATTGTCTGCTGACTTTACAAGGTTCTCTGTATGGTCACTATGTGGTAAATTTTATTCTTAGTGTTAAGGATCACAGAGAAGTCAGTCATGTCAATAATGAAACACCAGCCTTCCAAAGGCCCTCATCTGCACGAGCAGTAAAGACAAAGGACATTGAATTAAGGAGGGGACTGATGTATCCACTGTTTTGGCATTGAAATGCAATGTTGTCATCTACAAAGTTCATACCTAAGAACTGTAATTGAGTTGCAAATTTTTTTCATAACGTTTTAAGTATATTTGCCATTTCATGCTGGGCCGTGTTCATTGCCCTCTTTGATTCTGTGTACCCCACAGGCTGTCAGTTGGGCATGACCTATGTGCTTCTGAACACATTCCTATAGGAAATAAGCCCATCAGAGGTGAAGACGATCTCACTTTGATCTCTTTTTATTACAAAAGTAATAGTGTTCAGAGACTGGACATGAGCTCAGTCTGGAGTGTCGAGCATGCATGAAGCCCTGCTTCGATGCTAGCACCACAAAAGCCAAGCATGAGGGCGCATGCCTGCAAGAGTAGCCCTGGCAAGAAGACCAGGAGTTAAAGGGCCCCTTGGATTGCACAGGCCAGCCTGGGATACAAGAGACCTTGTCTCAAAAAGGAAGGGGTGGGGAGGAGGGAGGGAGGCAGGCAAAGATAAAGAAAGAATACTACTACTGCTAACAACTAAATGCTTTCTCAGAAAACCGTCTTTCTCACTGTATCCTTGTCAACACAGGTATTATCAGTTTAGTTTGGTCTGCCTGCCTGGGGTATATATAGTTGTATGATTATGACTTTTATTAGGACTGAAAATTGATAATATTTAAAAACTATTCTCATCAATAGTTTCTCAAAGGAAGATTCATTTCATATGTCCTGACTGCCCGGGTCCTGTTGACTTGTCAAGCCCCAGCGTTCTGGAAGCTGCCACAGAGTCGCTTGCAAAGTACAACAGTGAGAACCCCTCGAAACAGTACTCACTTGTTAAAGTCACCAGGGCTACTAGTCAGGTAAAACTAAAATGCCCAGGTCAGTTACGCAGACTGTAGCTGCAGGTCTTGGGTTAGGAGGAGGCTACCTAGGCCTTCTGTCTTCTTAGGCCCTGAGGTCCTTTCTCTCAGGTCCCATTTCTAGCATATCTGTTGTGCATTCAGTCATATGACAGCTTCCAGTTTTCCTTGCAATTTGTACAAGTATCAGGTGACTTGATTTTATTTCTCCACCCTTAAAGCAAGAACAGATTCATAGTCTCACGTGGGTTTGGGGGGGGGTAGACATAAATAAGTGTACTGCTTTCTGATGGATGATGGACCACTTAGAAAGACAACTTTTGCTTCATTAAGGCCTTGGGTAGGTGTTGAGTTTTATGAGTTATGGGCTAGGAGACTCATTTATATTTCAATTGTGTTGTTATCTCTCTTATATAAATAAATATCTAAATATAAGACAAATCTTCACAAGGAAAAATAAGGTAACTAAGAGAATAAGAGATGTTAGGGTGCCCTTCACATCCTTAACAGGGAAGGGCACTGATTTATATTTTCTAAAGAGCAATATTACTGCTTGGTACCCGTGGGAAATTTTAGGAACAGTGAGTTTGTGTGTTGACCATGCCTCAGTCTGTTTGACAGTTCTATATAAGGAAAGTTGCCAATCCTGACTTTTCCATGGAGTAAGATTTTTAATTTCCTAACTCTTATTTCATGACAGTGGGTGGTTGGCCCTGCTTACTTTGTGGATTATTTGATCAAAGAGTCACCATGTACTGAATCCCAGGCCAGCTGTTCCCTCCAGCCCTCCGACTCATCGGTGAGTGTTTCTGGCATTGGTACAATCTGCAAGCATTCACAGATCACCAGTATTTGTTGGGCACAGATTACACTGGGCGTGGCACAGAACACAAGATGCTTCTCCATGCCTTGGATAGTTAGAAACTGAGCAGGTATTGACTCAGCGATGGGATTTATTTGATTCTAAGAGTGATTTTCATCATCAGTGTAATAAAATCACAAAGAAAAGAAAAAAAATCACAGGAGGACATGGAATACAGCACAGTGTTCTTCTTTGGGCCATTCTTCACAAAAGAAAGGCTAGTAAAATAAGGAATGAGGTACCCCAAAAATATCAGAATATGTTAACCAGCATGCTGTGTTGAAACCAGTTGGGCAAAGCTATATTGAATGCTCCATTGCAACACAGTTCATGCACAATAAGATTTACCCTCTTAAGGAAGATAACTCCATTTTTGTAGTATATTCACAGACCTGTCCCACCATAACCACTTCATAATTTTTGAATATTATAATTCGCTCTCAATAGGAACCCATCTCCATGAAGTCAGTCCCCATTGCTGCCCTCGGAAGCTCTGGAAACTGTGTATCTGATTTCTGTCTCAATAGCTTTGTCCCTTTAGACAATTCATACAAATGGAATCAAGAGTGGAGGAGAAGTATTTGTTTTTAAAGGAAACTGAAACAACTCCATCAGACTAGCCAGTGAGTGGCCACACTGAAGTGCAGGCACCATGGTCCCCTCCACTCCAGTGAAGCACCAGGAAGTCCACACATTTAGATAATGAAGAAAAGTCTAGCTAGTGTGGAGTATCCAGCTGTTCTTATCACAGGCACCTGCAGTTTCTCTGGAAGGTTCTCCTAGAGCTCCTGGGCCATGGTGATGAAAAGCAAAAGGGAAGACTGGGGTACCATGTTACATTAATGATTTTCACACCTTTTTTTCATGTGACCTGGAGAAGGATATGATGTTCAGACAACCTTTTTAGATGTAATTTGGTAAACTTTATTTGAATATGCTTAAGAGTTCTTCTTTAGAGTTTGAGGCAGAATTTTATTATAATAGTTCACTTATCTTTGAAAATTACATAGCCTATGATCTTAAAATAATTCTTCTAGGGTCTCTTGGTTATTTTCCTTTTGCTGTGATGAGACACCATGACTAAGGAAACGTATAGAAGACTGAGTTTATTTGGGTTAGCATCCACAGCCATTGTGGTAGGGAGCATAACAAAAAGCAGGCATTTTCCTGGATGCTAAAGAGCTTGCATCTTGATCCACAAGTAGGGGACAGAGAGAACTGACTGGAAATGGTGTAGGTTTTTGAAACCTTATGGTCCACCCTCATTGACACACCTCCTAATCCTTCCCAAAGAGGTCCACCAACTGGGGACCAAGGATTCAAATAGATAAGCATATAGAAGACATCCTCATTCAAATAAGGATTTACGCCGGGCGGTGGTGGTGCACGCCTTTAATCCCAGCACTCAGAGGCAGGCGATCGCTGTGAGTTCTAGGCTGGGCTGGACCGATAGCCTCCGAAACAATACAGAGAAACCCTGTCTCGTAAAACCAAAAGAAAAACAAAAAACAAAAAAACAAATAAGGATTTACTCTAAGGAAAAAACTAGAGATACATGAAAAAATAGTTTCAACGTTTAAAAAAATTCCATTAAATCTAGTTGTTTGAGAAGGGTGGTGGTGGCACACGCCTTTAATCCCAGCACTGGGGAGGCAGACGCAGGCAGATCTCTGTAAGTTCGAGACCAGCCTGGTCTACAAGAGCTCGTTCCAGGACAGCCTCCAAAGCCGCAGAGAAACCCTGGCAAAAAAAACCAAAAATAATATATATATATATATATGTATGTATGTATGTGTATATATATGTATGTATATATATATATATAGTTGTTTGACAAGAAATACTAGCCATTTTAAAGATAATCATCGAAACAAACAACCACAACAAAGAAAAGCATAGAAGACTATCCAATGCCATACAAAGATTTTTATAATATACTGTTCAGTGAAAAAATATCATGGAATATGATCTAAGTGCTTAGAAGAAAAATATGCATGAAATAGTGAAAAGATTAGAAGAAAAAGTCAAAGGATTGCAGGCAATGAGAACCATTTACGGAGTTACAGGTCATGTCTCTTTATGTTGTTCTAAATAATTTATTACCTTTATCATTTTTTTGAGACAGGGTTTCTCTGTGTAGCTCTGTAGACCAGGCTGGCCTTGAACTCACAGAGATCTGCCTGCCTCTGCCTCCCGAGTGCTGGGATTAAAGGTGTGTGCCGACACCACCCAGCTTTCCTTTATCATTTTCTAAAAGTAGTTTTATTTTCAAACAGACAAAAACTGAAGGAACTGAGAGTATTTTTGCCTGAGAAGACAAAACTTCATTTGGAGCATATTAAGGGTTGCTGTAGAGAGGAAACCACCAACCTTCCTAATTGAGTCAATGGCAGGCCCAGAGCCAGGGCCAGGCAGTGAGCAGGAGGAGCTTCGTAAAAGCCAGTGTTCCCGTTGCCAGCATCAAGCTGCACTTGGTTGGTTTTAGATAATTCAGAGGGAACTGGCTGAGTCCTGCCCTCTTTCGAGGCAGGAACAGGAAAGCATGGTGCCGCTGTGTGTCTACACAGGAAAGCATGGTGCCGCTGTGTGTCTACACGAGCAGAAAGCAGGGGCTCTGCTCACCGGTGACTGAATACTCACATGACGTCTTTCTTTCTTTTAGCCCGTCGGTATTTGCCATGGTTCTCTGGTTCAAATACCAGCTATTAAAGCATCAGGTGTGGTTAAAGAAAAAAGAATCTCTGTGACTTGTGAGTTTTTCGAATCTCAGGTATTTATCTCTTTTTTAAAAATGTTATTATTAGTGTGTGTTTGCGAACGTAGTATATGAGCACATGGCAACTTGGTGGTTTGTTCTTCACGTGGGTTCTGGGACCTGGGACTCGGGCCACTGGGCTTGCAGGATTGTGGCTTTCCCCATTGAGCCTATCATCCTAACCCGGTGATTTCCAATGGAACCAGACCATCTATCTCTAGGTGCCTATGCCCCACCCACTTTTGGTTTTCTCAAGATCCAGGATCACCTTAGTTAGGCCATCTAAGCCCATGCCTAAAGGAGAGAGGGTTATCCTGCTACATTAGTCACAAAGTGGCCCTGTAGGATAAAGGAAAACACTCAGAAACACTGAGCTACAAACTTGCCTAGTTTTTAAGTCTTCAAGGTGCTAAATTCAGTATCTCAGAGCTACCTCTCTCATCTCAGGGAGGCTCACTTCCAAATCCCTCTTCACAATACCAAGTACTTATTGTGGGGTAGCCTGATCCAGCCAGTCAGGCTGCCTGGGCTTCATCCTTGTTCTGCCCCAATGAACTGTGTGGCTGCTGGCACCCACCTTCCCTGTCTGGGTCTTGCTACCCTCATCGCCTGCCGGTTCTGATCCCTAAGATGGACCCAAGAGAGGACTAGGATGAAAGGTGCCATACAGGAACTAGTACAAGTCAAACAATAAAAGAGCGCCCTTGCTCACACCTGGGAGCAAATGCAACCCACTGGGGACTCTGAATAAATTCCTTAAGCCCCTCTGAACCACTGTTGTGAAGGGAAAGAGCCGAGGACCAGTTTCTGCAGACCTTGACTCCACTTGGCCATTTACATGATTCCTTATAGATCTTTGTATCAGGAGGCCCAGACCCGTTGCTCGGTGCTTCTCAAACTGTTGGTGTTGACCACTTGGCCGAGGCCGAGGGTGGTGGTGGGGTGGTGGTGGTGAATGACCTTTTCACAGGGGAGGGGGCGTGTCTAAGACCATCAGCAAACAGATATTTGCAGTAAGATTCATAAAAGTAGCAAAATTGCAGTTATGAAGTAGCAATGAAAGTAATTTTATGGTCGGGGGTCACCACACATGAGGAATTGTATTAAGGGATCTCAGCATTCAAAAAGTTGAGAACCGCTGCTGAGCTGGTTTCTGTAAGCATCCAGAACCTGTAATCCCAGCACTCCGTAGTCTTGAGAACCGCCGCTGAGCTGGTTTCTGTAAGCATCCAGAACCTGTAATCCCAGCACTCCGTAGTCTTGAGAACCGCTGCTGAGCTGGTTTCTGTAAGCATCCAGAGCCTGTAATCCCAGCACTCCGTAGTCTTGAGAACCACCGCTGAGCTGGTTTCTGTAAGCATCCAGAACCTGTAATCCCAGCACTCAGTAGTCTTGAGGCAAGGAAGGAAGAATTCCAGGCTAGGCTATTCAAGTCCAAGACCTCCTTACAAATGCGCAGCCACAAAACTGCTTTGCCTGGAGCTGGCATTCCCTGTAGAATTCTCCATTTGAAAACATTGTTATTTCAGGCTCAGGTTCCTGGAGGTGATAACCCTGCTGCTACCCAGGAGCCCAAGAAACTCCCCACAGTGGACGAGGTCCCTCAGAAAAACACGGCCCCCACCAGCTCCCCCTCCAAGACTGCTCCGAGAGGATCCATCCAGCACCTCCCTAGCCTGGATGTTGAGAAGCCCGAAGACTCTAAGGAAACGAGTCCCAGTCCCGTGGAAGCCTTTCCCGTGCAGCTGGATCTAACCACGAATCCCCAGGGGGATAAGCTGGATGTTTCTTTCCTCTACCTGGGGCCCGAGGAAAAGAAGCTGGTGGTGCTACCTTTCCCAGGAAAGGCAGGACGCTCCACCGAGTGCCCCGGGCCAGCAGAGGGGACCAATCCTCTTATCCTCCCACCCTGAGAATCACAAACAGGGCTCCCCATAGGGTGTAGTCCCCTGCACCAGATGAGGTGGCAGGAATGAGGAGGAGACAGATGATCAAATGTAGAAAGGCTAATAAAGTGCTTCCCTACTGCATCTTGATCTCAATGTGTGACTAGAAGTGGAAATGAGAATAAATCCCCACTCTGGGCCACACTGGTCGGGTTCTGTATGCTGGGGGTGGGGTGGTATCCTGTACACACTGCTCAGGCTCCAATTGCCTTTTGCTTTCTATTTCTTTTTAATGTTTTAAATATCTTTACTCATGCAGAACCGATATGATACACATAAGCCAGAATAACTGTGATATCACTAGATGATTTAATCTAACAGGTCTATTGTAAAACATGGAACCACTGCCCTCCTAAATGCTCTTTGTATATAGCTTGTGACTATGATTTTAGTCTCTGGTAACTTTTTGTCTGGGTTGTTTTTATTTTATTTTTAATGATAAAAGGGCAATGTTGTTAGATGAGGTATTATAGACACCCTCCAGCTTTCTTTTTTAAAAAATATTTTAGAATATTTTGTAGAGTATATTTTAATCATATTGCTTCCATTCCTGAACTCCTCCCAACTTCATGTTCTTTCTTGTTCCTGAAAAGGGGGTTGGGAGAGGGAGGCATAGACACACAGAAAGTTAATCTGTCCCCTAAAGGCTCAAAACAAACAAACAAAAACAACAAAACCACGGAGTCTATTTTGTGTTGGGGCCTGCCCTAGAATGTGGTTGATATACCCAGTGTCACTCCACTGAAGAAAACGGACTTTCCCTCTCTAAGCAGCTATCATCAACTGTTGATATACCCAGTGTCACTCCACTGAAGAAAACGGACTTTCCCTCTCTAAGCAGCTATCATCAACTGCAAATTGCTTCTTGGTTAGGGGTGACCACCTCCCCTTCTCCATGCTAGAATTTTATCTGGCTTGAACATATGCAGGTCTGTATGCTGCCGTTCTGTGAGATCATATATGAATTAGCCCTGTTAAATCTGGAAAGTGCTGTTTCCTTGAAGTCACCTACCCTCTGACTCTCAATCTTTCCACCTCCTATTCTACATAGATACCCGAGCCATAAGTTTGATAAAGTCATCCTGTTAAGGGCTTTGTTTTAGTTACTGTTTCTATTGCTGTGAAAAGAAAACAAGATCATGGCCACTTTATAAAAGAGAGCATTTCATTGAGTTGGCAGCTTACAGTTTCAGAGATTTAGTTCCTTATCATGATGAGGAGCCGGGTGGCATGCAGGCAGACTTGTTGCTGGAGTAGGAGCTAAGAGTTCTGCATTTGATCTAAAGGCAACAAACAGGAAGTGAACTAAGACATTGGGTGTGGCTTGAGCATATGTACGAATCCTCAAAGCCCACCTCCACAGTGGCACACTTCCTCAAACAAGGTCACACTTACTTCAACAGGGCCACACCTCCTAATAGTGCCGCTTCTTTTGGGGGTCATTTTCTTTTAAACCACTACAGACACAGGCTTAGTGTTAGAAAGTTTCTCACTTCCTTCACATTGTCCAATTTGTGAGTCTCCTTGTTAACCACCATCTACTACTAAAATAAGCTTCTCTGAAGAAGGCTGAGCATTACTTTGATGTGTGGATGTGTGGGTATAGTAATATGTCATTTGGATTCATTTTGTGGCTATGTTCTTTTTTTTTTTTTTTTTTTTTTTTTTTTGGTTTTTACGAGACAGGGTTTCTCTGTATTGTTTTGGAGGCTGTTGGTCCAGCCTGGCCTCAAACTCACAGAGATCCGCCTGGCTCTGCCTCCCGAGTGCTGGGATTAAAGGCGTGTGCCACCACTGCCCAGCTTGGCTATGTTCATTTAATAGAATAATAGGAATAGTTTTCTCCTGGAAACCATGACCTATCTAGTCTTGGGTTCTTGGCTGTTAACACGCTGGATATGGGTTTGTTCCATCACATGGAGCAAGACTTGGACCCACACAAGAAGTAGGTGGTTATTCCCAACAACACCTGTGCCATTATTACACCAGTGGGTATATCTTGCAGGTAAGCTGCTGTTTTAGGTCACAGGGTTGGTAGCTGTGAGAGACTGATAATTACTTTTCTTCACCGGTAGTGTGCAGAGCACCTCTTAGCACCACCAGTGCTGGTCAGTAGGAAGACAGCTTCTAGTTGAGCACCCACTCAATTTCTCCATAAGTAACATAAAAACTGTTTGTTTCTTAGTTCACTGAATAGTTTCTTTACATTTATCTTAAAGCAATTACTTTGAACTCTTTGTCAAGCAGCTCATATCTCTACATTTTTTAATGGTAGATTTCTGGTGCTTTCTCTCTGAATGAAAAAATAAAAAAGAAGCAAAAGGACATGATGCTGCTAGGTATGGTGGAGGAGAAAGTTTATTATAGATATGTGGGAGACTATAGTCAGAGGTGGGGGCATTTGGGAGAGTCCAGAGTGGACACGACCAGACTGAGCTGGGCCACATGGGAGAGGAAAAGAAGAAGAGAGAGGGGGGAACCATGTGCAGCAACCAGGAGGTCAAAGATCCAAAAAGGAGCAGGTAACCAAAAAGTCTGTGTTATATAGGGAAGAGCCTCCGGGGAAAGGACAGCCCACCCCCTGAGCTGGAGAGTTCAGGGCAGAGGGAGGGGTTTGTGAGCCATACAGTGTAGCAGGTAGGGGCTGCAGGATGTTGGGAGAACCTGGTAGCCAGGTCCTGCTTTGATATGTTAAATGGGCAGCTTAGCTGTTTGTCCCAGGTTTGAGACTTAACACTTTCCATGATTGTATTGAACAATTGTGGCATTTGTTAGTGCCTGGATGTTTGAAGAACTGTGGACTTATCATAATCACTGTAGTCACAACATCTGTAGTTTCTTGGCAGGCCACCTGACTTGGTCCACAAATGGGCTTTCTGTTAGAGTTGTTAGACAGTTGACTTGTTACTGGAGTGTGCTGGTCAGTCTGGTTTCCTTTTCTCCCATGGAAGTATTTCCATGAGTAACGTTGATGTTTAGGAACATGGGTCATCCCCAACCAGCCACATCACCACCAAGTCTACATCATCACAGATGGAAACCTCGTGGATGCTGTATCTGGACACACTCTACCTCACCTTTCTGGTTTTGAACTCTCACTTATCATGTCAGCCAGTGTATACACTCAGCTTTACAGGTGAAATCTATGTACCAACAAACACATCTCCCTAATCCCCTCTTTGTCTCCCCTACACTTTCAAGGACTAACTTGGGTTGCCTGAACTATTTCCAACCCTGGGCCTCTTTTTAACTACTTTGAAGGTCTAGAGTTTTGACAGGGTTCCCTCTCACTGAGACAGGAACACAACAAAGAGAACTCCTCTCTCTCTCTCTCTCTCTCTCTCTCTCTCTCTCTCTCTCTCTCTCTCTCTCTCTCTGTGTGTGTGTGTACGCGTGCGCACCTCATCCCTCTGTGTCTCTGTCTCTCTGTGTCCATCCTGTGGCATCCATTGGGAACACCATATATACCACTCTCCATTGTTATAGAGACCCTAAGAGCAAACTTTGGTAGAATTGAAGGGCCCATCATGACATTCAGTTGTGGTCTTCTTTTCTCTATATTTAAGAAATCATGGGAAAATTTCCTCTTAGTTGGGAACACACACGTGCCCATGCAGGCAAGATCAATCAGGGTCTGACAAGAAGTAGAATGGCACTCAATCCAATTAAAAAGGTGTCAGTGAGTGTCTGCAATAAATCTCTTTAGGCTAGGGAAGGAAAGGGCAAAATATGTTGAGGTATCCAAAGAATAGCCACAATAGGAGGCCTGTAGCATCCCAGGTCAAGAAGGCAGGAAGAGAAGTAGCAGGCTACCCAAGCCCTGTGTGAGTTGAGCTGTGGGACTGGGGCTGCCTTGCAGGAGCAGCCTTGGTAATATGAGAGAGAACCTAAGACTCATCAACTGGATAAACCCACTGCCTTCTTCCTCCTTCCTGCCTTATCTTCTCTGTACCTCAGTTCTTTGAACCCAATAGCAAACCAACCAGCAGGGAAGCTAGCATTCACTAGTCCCTGGGAATCCTGGGACATAGGGCCATTCAGACAAAATCAAACAGAGGTAGACCTAGGGCAAACATAGAAAGACCATCACCAGCCCCGCAGAGGATTTTCCTAAGGGTAGTCTATAAGCCGCACATACATTGAAAGAACAGTGGGGAAGGACCTTGGGCTTTGTGACTCCTCTAACTCTGACCTCCTTCTCTTGACTAAATTCTTGAAGAAGTGGGCTCTTCCCATGTTCACCACTTCCTTTATCCACCATTCTTTCTTTTCCACAATCTGTTCATTGGATGCTAAGCACATCCTTAGGCTAATGTCAAAGCAGAGTGTTTATTTACATTCGCTTATACCCTTTGAGTTGCTGCAAGGCTGACTTGTCTACTACTCTTCAAACTTCATCAAACAGACATTGTACCACATCTCTGTGCCTCTTGCCTCGAGGACAACACCCTCTGAGACCCAAACTCAAGTTCCTCTTCTCTGCCTCACCTCTTAGATGCAGTTTATCTAGTTTCCAGTTCTTAATCTTTTTTTTTCTCAGTCTGCAAATTCCATGTGAGCAAGTCAACCAGTATCAACCTTGTCAAATAATCAGTGGTTTGCAGATTGCTGATGCTAATTGCTCTAGAACTGCAAGAGTTGAGTGATTCTAGTTGTGTGGTATTACAGCTATTGCTGGACTGGTGAGATGGTTCAGTGGGGAAAGGTGATTGCTACCAAGCCTGATGACTTGAGTCTGGTCTTCAAGAGCCACAAGGTAGGAAGAAAGAGCCAACCCCTGAAAGGTACTCATGGACCTCCCTGCTATTCCTGGGATTCTGAGTCACAGTGTTGTGTCTTCACAGGCCAATGGTAGTGATTAAAAGTTCAGTCTTGAATATTGTATCAAATGTGTTCCTTGTACTTCTAGAACCAGCCTTGGCCTTTGGTTAACAATGTCATTTTGAACACATTAATAATACCAAGAGTCACCAATAATGCATCAGTGTTGCATTAACAGCAATCAAAGCACTTCCCCTTGGTGTCATTTAACTGAGTGAGCTCAGATTTGAATAATCTACTCTACTTTCCTTGTGTCTATGGTA